CGGAATCTAAAAACTTTCTATTATAACGGGATTATCAACTAGTTACCCATTTAAAATAAATATCTAAAAGAGTTCTTGTCACAACTTGGTAAATTTTAAGCAAAAATGTAGTGCCACTCCATACTTATACAAGCTGGTAGAAATCTGGGTGCAGATATAGAAAAAGGAAAAAAACCATAAGCCCCTTAATATTGAGGGAAGAACTTATAGCTTTCTATAATGATACAATTTTTTTATAGAAGAAAAATATAATTATTGCCGAAAAAAATCGACTCATTCGAAAAGGAAACTGTACAATCTCTCTCCCTCTTTTTGGTTTCTTCGCGTTTTTTGTTTCCCGCGACCGCGTCAAAGAAGTTAAAAGCTACAAACTGAGGCTTTTGTGAGAGAAGGAAGAAAAAAACCGCTCCGACAAAGATTCATTATGCGATATTTTTGCTGAAAGAAACCAAATACAGAATAAGAGAAAACGTCAAGAGAGAGAAAGAGTCCTTCTCCTTTTATTTTTGCCTAAACAAAAGACCTGACATTTTTATTACTGAAGCCTGAAGGAGCGAGGAAAAATATTAGAATAAATAATAAGACTAACAGGTAATTAAAATGCTTTTAAATATTAATTAAATATATTTTAAATATTAAGATGTTATCCAACAACCATAAAAACTCAGTAAAGAGTAGGACAAAATCAAGTCATTTTCACAAAAATTGTAAATATGTATAACACCGATATTCTGAAAAATAATCACGTTTCATATGGTTCATCTCTATACTACAGAATCGGTAACGTCTGTAATGTACGTTAACTCTGTCCGAAATAAATAATAAAGCATATCGGTCGACCTCCCTTGACGACGGACAGCTCTCGTTAATAAGAAGAGTCAGTAAAATACATAGAAGCGTCATAATTCATTTTTAAAACGGTATATTTCCGTAAAAATTACGATCGTTACGCATTTTAAAATGCCCCTTAATTGGCGTCTCGCGGTTAGCGAACATTGTTGCCGGACGCTAATGAGAAACCACAGACTGAAAAAAAAAGAAAATTTTTCAACGTGTTTCTTCAATGTACTCGTTAATTTCGCTTCTTTTCATCGGGGCGATAATTCAAACATGACTCAAATCCAAACAATTTGTTTTCGAACAAAAATAGCCTGAAATATTCTGCCAAAGACAACTGGGATTTTCTTTTTGTGTGACTGGATTTAAAGAACGGTGTGGGACAATTAATTATTCTGAAGACGCATTGGCATTTTCTTACCATCAATTTCCCAGCGAGTGTGTGCAGAAACCAAAAAAGATTCCTGCTCTGATAAATAAAAAATGAAGAATTGGGGGTGATAAATCACTCCGTCAGTGAAAAGCCACTAAGAAAAAGACATGTTTTCAAGAATTAGATTAGAATGTATGTTCTAGCAAATAAAAACAGTAAATTAATAGAGATTTACTTAGTTCTTAAGTCCGGTAAATCAACTTTTTACAGTATGAGTGAGATATTTATAAATGTCGAACAATGTTTTGAGTATTTTTTTAATTCGCTTATGTCTGTTTTGGATACTATTGTATTTCCCAGTAAAAAAACAAGACATAAAAAGCTATTTTTTCATCTTATTTTTCCCAATCTTTTTTATTAAGTATTTGTATTTCCTTTCTGGTGTTTACTTAAGTGGCAAGTCAACATAATATACAGCAATGAATATAAATAGGAGTATACTGTGTGATTGAATAAAAACGATGTTAAATTAGCGACAGAAATACTATTTCAGATCTGATTTTGTTCAATCAATATTTCAGTTGTCTATCATTTTACGCCGCAAATAAATGCAGTTTCTGTTATTGTGTTGATGTCGTCTGAGGAAAACTTCCCTGATTCATTAGACAAACTTTATCTATTTTTATTTATTTGTGAACTGATTATAAACACTTAAAGCCCAAGTACCACTGTTCATACCTTTCAATTATAGAAATTAATCTTATCTTTGGACGTGCATTTTCGATAGTATTTTTTTATCGATGAAAACAATTAAAAAATCAAATAGTATAATAAGAAAAATTGGTTCACTTGACATTGTTAAGTATATCAACAAATTAAATCAAATAGTCCAGTGAGTTATTAACACAGCACCGTATGATCGAAAAAAAACGGTTATTTACGATATGATTAAAAAAAATTCCCTTATAATTTTACATAGGTATAAAATGACAGCGATCTGTATGATATATTATATCGTAGACCTTTTCTAATAAAGAATGCGACTCCATAAGACCCTTTTTATCTCTGACTCTCCATATTTTACAACCCCTAATAAAAACGTTGTTACGACAGCAGTAAATGAGCAAGTGTTTATGAAAATCGAGCATGTGAAAGAGAGATTAATCAACTTTTGATGGGAACTTGTATCCATAAAAAAGGGATTAATTTTAGATGAAGTTTTGAAAAATAAGGTCTAATTTACTGACCCTAATCTAGAGTTTAATCAAATTTTCACGTTACCAAAATGTGGACGTTATTAATAGTACTGATACAGGGTATTTCTTAGCATGAGAAACGGAAAAAATAAATCTTAATAATTGTGGTACGGTCACAGAAGAAGGGTACGGTTATAGAGCTATATAAGATCAACTGAAAATTTTATTGCTATGAATTATTCATATTCGTAGATATTTGAAATATTTCTGAAAACTTTAAAATCAAGCTCATTTTGAAAATTATTCCAAGCTTAACTATTGCATATATTCGTAAAATTATATAGTTCCTCCCTCGAGAGTTGGTGGAATTTTAAATTTTAAAACCACGCGAAAGTCTTACACAATGAAAATGCATCAGGCATATATTAAAACACAGACGATTATAAATTATTAACCGAGTTAATAATAAACTAGAATCCATCTAATATGAATCTACCTATAATCTATAACATTGAAAAACTGTAATTTAAAATAGTTTCTACTAAAAAGACAATGCATTCCATGTTCGCAGTTTCAGTGATATGATTTTTATTTGCTTTAAAAAAACACTTGCTCAAGCTGTTAAAATGGAAGCTAGACTCGCCAATACCTTGATGACGGGCTTCACGTTTACACGAAACGTCGTTCGTTTACCAGTTCGTTAAAAATGTGCGCTCCGCAACTCCGAATTTTCCGAGTTTTCATAGATTTTCCTTCGTTAGGCAACTGGAATCTGCTAATTTGGTTAGTAGAAATTGATTGGAAGCGACTGAAATTGAAGTGTGATACGAAAAAAACCGATCCAGAATTAAAAAGAATCGTTTTAATGAACTATTTTTATTTGTTAGAAGCGGAATTGTGCGTTTTTGATAATTAAAATCTAAAATTTTTCGAAATCTAACGAAAAAATTCTGGATTTATGGCCAAAATGAATCTTTTCCGGATTGGAAGAATTCTAAAAACCGCCAGGTCATCGAAATATCGTCGTTAGTCTTCGAGAAGAACTGACAACGACAAATCAAAAGAGCCCGAATGGAGAAAACCGCGTGAAAAATGACCCGGGCTGGAAAATTTAGGTCGCTACGCGGTGAAAATGTATATTTTATTAATGCTTTTAAAGTTTTTGTTGAAAAGATTCGAGGAACAAAGTGGCGAGTACGGGCACTGCCATTTTTCCCTTCCATACGTTTCTTACAAAATATCTTTTAAGTTTGATTGGACTATTGTTAAACTTAGGACCGTCTGCGGCTGTCTCTAGACCCGGTTTAAAACATGAGTTAACCCTTTACTTGGAAGTGTATTCTGTGGGTACGTAAACGTATTTAATTGGTATGTCGATTAAAACAGAGAATACCAAGTTTTAATATTCTGATAGTATAATTTACAGCTTTTTGTGTTCCCTCCGTTGTGTCTGTCCCTTGTGGATTCGTAATTTAAAATATTTCTGTTTACTTAAAATACTTATATCGGCATCAGCTGGCATTATCAAAAAAATTAACGATAGACACAACGAATTTCATAATGAAGTGTTAATTGTAACAATACTTGACACTTAACTCAACATATCTGTATATTGTTCTCCTGAAGAAAATTTTATTGAAAATTCACGTATAACGATAAGATTAATTTCGATGACATAAAATTAAGATTTTAGACGTATAGACATAGAAAAATACAAAAGCAGCTAGAAAAAGACGTTTTTAAATAAAAATACTTGATTAATAATAATATATTGTTGCTAAAAGTATTGCTAAAACAATATATCTATTAATAATAGATATATTGTTTTAGGGCCAAAAAATGGTTCTTTTTGTGGCGAGACTTTACGTTTGGCGCCACAAAAACTACATTCTGACGAATAGAACATTATATTTTTTCAAACGTCACAAATGTTTATAAACAATTTCAAACGTCGTAAATAATATAAAACGATTTAAAAGTAATATATTGTAAGTAAGTAATTATATATCGAGAAACTATTGTTACGCTCGTTGAATTTGACACTTTATGTCAGTTTAATAATATATTTTTTTGTACTTTTGTGCTTAGGCGTTAAAACGTTTGAAACAAAATTATTTAGAATATTTTACGTTTTTTTTCATTCGGTCAAAAAGTACTTACAACAGATTGATAAAAAAATATACCTATATGAAAAAACTTCTTACATATTTTCTATATACACGCTAGATATTATAATGCTCCTATAGTCAAAACAAACTCACAATACACGATGTGTTCACAGTATGTTCACATCAAACGCGGCATTTTCGCCAACGAAACTTCCGGTTCACCGGCCGGAAAAGCCTACTTTTCGCGTGAAGGAGGCCGATTTTCCGGGAAACTCGACGTAGGACCGACGTGGTTTCGATCGCGACTATTACTGCCCATATTTCTGCAACATTGCACCCCTCTTCGCGTTCGCTAAGGGTCGGAAAATTCCGAACCAAGCCGAGGGAAAGCTCCTCGTTGTCGTGGGGAAAAATCGTGAAAATCTGGACTGTAATTAATAGCCACAAACTCATAGGTGGTTTCATCGCAAAAATAAGGTACGAAAATCAACGTTAACATTTATATATTTTCACAGGTACATGTAAACTTGTATAAACATCTTAAAATAAGTAAAAAACAACATATATCTAATCATAAAATTTCAATATGGACTAGATTCGATATTCAAACTGTTCAGTACAATAAATTAGTATTTTTTTATTGTCAAAATTACGTATATCTAAAATTATTTTTCGTTCTTTTTCGTTTCTAGAGGTACAACGACGTATTTTTGAACCCACGAAGAATTTTCCAGCGATTTTCCCCCAAAGCTGATATACATATGGAAAACTATGTAGGCAATAAAGACGAAATAGAAAACTGTCAAGATGTATATCACTGACACTTCGTAGACGTTCAAGTTCCACTCCTGGATAGTGGAGTGCACGAAAAATACGTTTATACCAATTATAATAGCTCCTAGAACTACTGAAGTGATCTTATATAGCCTAAAATAAATAACACAATAAGAAAACTTTTAGGTTTTAAAAAAAGGCTTCTAGGTTTTTCGACACTCGAATGTTTGGAGTTGGAGCTTTTTGGTTTTATCCCAGTAAGTAATTGTTATAAGGTTATCAACGTCAATGGGTTATAATAGAGGTACCTACTAAAAAGCTAAGGTGTTCTTGAATAGTTGTATTTAGGTATTTTAAATAGCTTTTTCTTTGTTCTTTGTGTTTTTTTGCTTTCGACCACGAGAGGAGATATACTTCCTGAAACGTTAAGATTTGTTTGTCCGTTCGGCAAATTTGTTTTATTAGTAATGAAAAAAGTACTAGTGACAAATTGGTCTCAACAGAACTAAAAGTTTTATATTGTTGATTTTTCTAATGGCGAGAAACCTAGAAGTCTTTTGTGAAGGAATAAAGCTTCATTCAGAACCTTGAAATTAGTGGAATAACTTAGTGGTCCCAGTTATAATTTTTAAATTAAAATTAATAGAGAAAATCTAATAATTAACGTTATAAGACATTAAAACAATAAGCTTTTTAATTGTATTCAGAATTTTTCTTGACGGAAGATAATCAAAAGCCAAACCTTGCATAATTTGAAGTATACATATAGTTAGTGGAAAAAGTTAAAAGTTTGTTGACTTTTTCTACCAATTAAAAATTTTGTGGTTCTGAATGAAGCTTTATAAGAAAAGTATTAAAATACCGAAAAAAGTTTTTACTTACACGCCGTTTACGAATTGCCCCATAAGTCTCGGGTTGCTGGTAAACGCAATGGTTGGAATCAGAGCAAAAGGTAACTGCAAGCTCATGACAGCGTTCAGAAGATCATTCAAGGTGGTCAGTTCGTTTAGAGAGCTGAAGAAGGCTAGTAAAAACGTAGGAACCATAGCTATGCTTCTGGTGAATAATACTCTCTTCCATTTTGGCCATTGCAGATTTAAAAATCCTTAAAATTATAAAGATGTGCTGAAATCTCTGGTAAAAACATCCATGTTTGTTAAATTAGTACAAGTATTTCAACATTATTAATATCCACCTATCATACTTGTTATATCGGCAAAGGATAAAGCTAAAAAAGTTTCTTTGGGAATGTATTTGGAGATTTTTTCTAACAGTCAAAATAAACTCGTAAAAATAAAAAGGAAAACCAGAAATTTCAGTTTTACCGCCATATTAATATTTACCTTCCATAGCGAATTGTCCGGCATAGGTTCCCGTCATTGTAGAGCTTTGTCCAGCAGCTAGGATTCCGACAGCCCATATATACATAGCGGCAACGCCGTACGTACAACCTAAGAAAATGCCACCCTTGTAGATATCTGCATCGACAATTTCATCATTTGCCTAAAGAAAAAAAAAATAATTCCAAACAAAATTTCAATTTTTTTTGGAAAAATATCACTTACCGGAAAAGCCTCTTTTGCTATGTCAAACATGCTGGCAGTACTGGCACTACAAGTACCAAGCTGAAGAGAAAATAAAAAAAATTGTTACTAAAAATAAATAAACCAAACAATAGACGTTTATGAAGTACTAATAACAAAAGAAAAACGGCTAAACCACCATAATCACTCAATGTATATCGACAAAAAAGTGCTTACCAAATCATTATTTGTCTTCTCGAACAATCCAAAGGCAAAAACAGCAACAACAAAAATGTTGATGATCAAACTGACTAGAAGAGCTACAGCACTTTCGATCGAATAGTACAGTTTTGCCTCCGTAATCTTTTCTGGTTTTTTACGATCTATGTTCCTCGATTTTACCAATGCCGAATGCAAATACAAATTGTGCGGCATAATAACTGCACCAACTACACCAACTGCTTGTAGAAACACTGCATTGTTACATCCTTCACACCTACGAATAACAGTGTCAACAATGTCGAGAATGTCATAGGCTCGGTCAGAGGTCTATAATTATGAGTTGTTAAAAATGTTGAAATGGTTCCGTAGCATTACTTAATCTTTTGCATATTTCTCTCTTGTTATAATAAGCACTAACATTTTTTTGGGTATATTTGCAACGCTTTGTAAAAAATAGGAAAACGTGCTTTTATTATTTTTGATCTTATGCTTAAGTGAACTAAAGAAAACTAATCTTACCATGGGAAGAAAAGACCTTTAGTGACATCTGCTGGATTAGGACCAGAAACAATATATTCGTATCCAAAAGTCACGCCCATGACGGATATGAGCAGGCCAAAGAACAACTCCAGCTTTCTCAGCCCATATTTGTCGAGAAAAAGGAATGTAAAGGTGTCTATTATTGTTATTAAGCATCCACCCCATAAAGGTATCCTAGAAAAGGCGGATTGTAACTTGGCTTCCTTTTACTATTCCCCGAAACAATAACATACATAGTTAAAAATCAATATTAAATTAACTAGAAAAAAAATTAAACATAATTATTTTCATCAGATTTCATATTATTTGATGAAACTTTTTACAGACTTACAGAGCGATGTAGACATATCTTTTGTAATATTATAATCAAAAAAGTTAAGAACCTTTACTTATACTCAAAAAATTATAATACTGACTGATCGGTAAAAGTTTATTTTTTAAATTTAAAATAAAATTAATACAAAAGTTATCCTAAAAATTCGATATAAATCAGTTAATTATTTAACTAAGTATTAACTGCAAAATATTATTATCATTAAAACTATCTGTCTGTCTATCTATAGCTTTCCGATCCAATAAATGTTTATAAATCGCATTATTATTTAATTAAAAATTATTTAGTCATAAAGTTGCCAATCGTATAATTAAATTATCGGGAAAAATATCAGCTTTATGATTTATAATGGCATAACACTGAGAGAGATTAACAATAAAACAAAACCTATACCTATAAAGTTTGATTCGTTCAAATAATCGCACATAATACAAATAAATTTAAAATAATTACGTTTATTACTATATTTCACCAGTTTTAACATAATAATTATTGTGTAATATAATAAATCGCTTAGCAAATAGCACACCTTTGAATGTTTAGATGTTATCCTTGAACGTTATCAAGCATTGCCCTTTAAAATTAAATATAACACTAATTTTAATAATTAAATTATTATAACGTTGAGCTCCCTCCACACGTAACGTTTTACTTGCCAGTCTTAAGTGCAACAACTTATCGTACGGTTTGTTTGGGTCGACAAAACCTGACGCAATGTTGTAAATGCAACTCACAAAGTTGTGTCCACATTACGACGACTTGTCATTCAGTCTTTTGTATTCTGTTATATTATTAATAATTATTACCTATCATGGAAGAAACACGGTTGTGGTTAATCTTGGCTATTTGTTTAAATAGAAATAAATTGTTATGTGTAGACCTAAGATGGACGACCGTCTTGAGCACTGCCTTCAGGTTCTACTCCTTCCGTTTTACCTGACTGGTTAAACGTTAATTAAATAATGCGAGTTCGAAAAAAAAACACGTCGTAGTAAGCTTGTACTCCACGAAAGATATAAATAAAATTAAAACTCGAAGAACACGTTATTTTTAAGCCTACGAAACTTTACATTCCCATGTGTTACTTACACTTTATTTGATAGCATATAGATAGCTATAGAAGTTCCTATTACTTCTTGCATATCCGAACCTATGACAGCGATTTCTATCATGATCCACAAAATTAATCTAGGAACTTTTTTGTATTGCCTGTGGCACATTTCTGCCAAATGCAGACCAGTTACCACACCTAAAAATGACAAACAAACTAGTATTTCTATTCCTAAATAACTTTTCAAAATTTTTTACCAGAGATATAGAGGTAGGGTGAAAGAGCTTAGAAGAGTGCACATCAAAAATAGTTCGTAAGCCATGTTGAACAAGTGGACGTGAAGTTAGCGACTGATGAATTTTTCCTTTTACGTCTCGGTGTAATTACTAGGCTACATTTGCCGCATGAACACAAGAATTCAATGCGGTAAATTCTCACACACTACACAACGAAATCATCTTCTTCTTCTTCATGCTGATTTCCCCTACCTCTATATATCCCCAGTTTTACCTAGTTTTGTGGCTAACATTTGTACAACAAATCCTAAAATTGTCGCTCCGAATAATACCCATAACAATCTGTATCTGCCTATGGCTCCAGATTGTAAATCACTCTCTATATTTCCTGGATCTAAGTAAGCTATGGACATAAGAAAGCCCGGGCCTGTAAAGGCCCATAATTTTCGAAAACTAAATCCTGACTAAAAATAAACAGTAATTAAGGATGTAAAGGACATATCGATATTTTTTTAACGATGTTTTACATCGATGTTTTCAAGATTTTACGTACCTTTTCTGTTTCGGGAATGTTTATTTTATTATGTGCAAAATACGTATTGACATCTTCCGTTTCTTCATAATAATACATGGGATGGTCTGTTGTTCCATAATTACCCACTACTTTTTTCTAGAACACAAAATAACGGGTCTAAAAAAGTGTTTTCTCTCGTATGTCTGTTTCTTACGTCTCCCTGACAATTATTACAGCTTTTGTCAGGGAGGCAAAAAACTTATCAATAACTACAATTACGTATTTTTTGAATCAAAATAAGTTAATTGCTTTCAATTTACCTCTATACAAAAGTGCTTCGTTTGTCCGTTAGAGATCAATAAAAAATAAACTCAAACATTAATTTAAAATTTAAAATTTATATTTTTTAAGCGTTTTATGAAGCTTATTGTTAAATGTAATTTGTCACACCAACATAAAATTCTATATTTGTGCCAACTAGATTATTAGGGAAAGTATTTGTTTTACTCAAAAGAAAAATAATCGGCTGTCGGTAGAGTTGGAAAATATTTACACTAAATTTTATGTCGGGGTGAGGGTAGTTTTCAACGTTCCCGTACATTTTCTTGATTTTTATGGAAGTCGAATGTTACAGCACTTAGCCCAACATAGACACTTAAAATCTCATTCAAATGGGAATACCGGTTTTTAAAATATCTTAAAAAATGTGTTTATTTTTTAAAATTTTGATGCCCTCTAACGGACAAACGAAGCACTTATCTATAGAGGTAAATTGTGTCCAATGAACTTACTTTGATTCCAAAAATATATAATTGTTCTATGTCCACGAAATATTGGGATACCCTGTATAAAACAGTTAAAATAATTGCGCTTATTTACGAGGTACTCTGTATATTTCTAATCTGATTGTTGTTTGGTTGATTCGCTAATAGATGTCTAAAAGTTTAGGAGTTTTCCAATATAGATATTATTCTAAATTATTTCTTAAAAATTTAATTTTAAAAATATAAATTAATTTTCTTTTATATGAATCAACGTTGCTACAGGTCAGGGGCATATAAAATTAATACACAAACGCCACCTAGGCGTTTCAAACAAACTTTTCAAATACCAAATAACAAACAGCATGAAATTGTTTACACACGTGATGATTACTAACTATAATGTCAAGGTTACAATTTTTTATGATCAATGCGGAGAAAATTTAACATATATACTGGTATCAAAATTTTTATTTTTATTACCTTGTGAATTTCTACTTTGAATTCGTCAACATTTCCATCATTATTTCTACTTATACCACTTAACTCCACATCGTTTGTTCTTTCTACTATACCGTTTTCACTCATTTTTAAATAATAGTATTAATAGAACACTAGCACACAAATCACAAAATTTTTATCACCACTGTTTTCCTCAAAAATGTCTCGGTTAAACGAACATTAAATTGCAGTTAAAAATATTTATCTTCATTGTGCTACCACAAGCTGGCTTTACTACTTTAAAATCACTGTAAAAAGCCTTAGACTAATTTATCTGCTTATATATACTTTTAGTTATCAAAGTTAAGTGGTACTAGACGAAATCGGTATGCTGGAGCTCTTTTAGACACGGTACTGTTCACTTACATTGTTCAAACAACTTTATCGGCATAATCACAGTCTATTATATGTACTATTTCGTATTCGTACAGAGTGTATTATATGCTAAACTTGTACAAAGATTAAATAAAATATTTCATTAATAACTGAACTTGGTATTTCCAGGTTTTTCGAATATTATTTACTTTAAAAGCCTTGGTTCCAACTGAGCGAATCCACCAGTGTGATTATCGTTCAAACATTTCTTTATAATTAGTCTTATGCAATTTATGCAACAATAATAATAATTTAACCTTAATAATAACGCTTTAAGGTCGAGACACACATATCCGTCACGCGTCAGAACCTAGAGACGAACAAGAGACGCACATGCTCCAGCCTGTTTCTCTAGAAACCACCAAGAAAAAAATCTATGCTATCGAAAGGTGCGTACAACTACTCGTCTTGGATAGGAACTATCAAAAACAAGAAATAACCATCTTATCCGATAGATATACCTATGTGTCTCGGCACGGGCGCGGTCCGGATATGTGTGTCTGGACCTTTTATTTGGTTTTTATTAGAGGAAAGGGTGGTAATATGGAACCCTTGTTTGTTTATATTCGATAACTCAAAAATTTATCATCAATTATTTTTCAAATATATCGCTCATGTATGTCTAATATATTTAGAATTATTATTTGTTTTTGGAATTTAAATAATGCTTAAAGTTTTTCCATAATTAACTAATAATATAAAATAGTACAAATTATCTAACTGTAAAAAGTAGTTGATAATATGGAACCCCCTATAATAAACCAGATATATTTAAAATTGTAGCGATATTTATTCACTATATTCAAAAAATGCAAAATTAACAAAAAATAATTCAAATAAACGAAACTTATTGACAAAAATCACAGACCCAGTCGGCTTTTTCACAACCAGAACACAGAACATGTGCCCATAATTGACACATAAGGCACTGGATCCATTTTTCTCCTTTCCTGTCTTCCAAAAATCGTTGTGAGCAGAATATGCACTCAGCATCATCATCTGGTCCTGGAAGATATGTTATCAACTGAGCTTTCCATATCACTTGAAGTAACTGTGCCATCGTGAACCGATTCATCTGAATCAGAGGATTCCGAAATCTTTCTTTTTCTTTGAATTCTCTTTGAACTAATTTTGAGGCTAAGCGCCGTTTTCTCAGATTGTTTTAAAGTTGATCGCTTACCGCTAGTCTTTACAATATCCGTGCTGAACCCACGAGACTGAAGACTCGAAATGTTTTTTGTGCTACCTGGTTTCGACGAGAGCGAATTCTCCAAATCTGTTTTATATGGAGAGCTTGTAATTACTGCAGCTGAAGTGGCCTTTCGTCCTTTATTCGACATTTTTCTCTTTGGCTTTGGTACCGGCCCAATAACCACAGGGGAAACAAAGGAGTTACTCGAGGTTGTCGAGGGTTGCGCTGAGCTGCAACCTGCTTCTGCCAGATCAGTTTCACTGATATTGAAAGAGCATAGATGTGTAGTTGTTGGTGGACTTGCTCTAATATGATAGGATTGAGCTGTAGTACTTTCAGCCATCACGGCTTCATGCTCAGCTGCTAAAAAATCATTATCCGTAAAAATTCCTCTATTGCAAGGAAATAACTCAGTTTTTAAAAAAACATTAATAGCAATACTTGCAGTTTGACACTTTAAATATGCCTTCCCAAAAAGTTCGGCAATATCATAAGGACCCAAAGGACGTTCATTTTGACGCAACCATATACGAATCTCTTCACTATAGTGGGTTTTTAGAGCTCCCATGAAAGTCTTATCTAAGGGTTGCAGCTTGTGGGTGGAGTGCGGAGGAAGGGATACTATGGTTATGTAGTTTGCTCTAGCTAGTTCTATTATTTCCATGTTTCTTGTATGACTATAATGTCCGTCCAAGATAAGTAGAAGAGGGTCATCTATTGTTGGTTTCGTGTATTTTATGAAATGCCTAAACCAATCAGTGAATAAATTGCTTTGCACCCAACCAGATGGATGACATTTTCCAATACTTCCGAGAGGTGCGCCTCTCATCAGAGTTTCAGTCATATTTTTCCTTGGGAAAATCAGCATAGGGGGAACAAATATGCCGGAAGCACTCATAGCACAAATGGTGGTCACTAGTGATCCCCTCTCAGCAGCCGTCAGCGCACCGATCTGCCGTTTCCCTTTTGACCCAACTACCTTAGGTATTTTTGTCTGAACTATAGACAATCCCGTTTCGTCAACGTTAAAAACGCGGTCAGCCGTATATTTTTTCTTTTCGTATTCCATCTCGAGGATATCAAAGAATTTAGCTACAGATTCTCTATTGAAACTGTTCGCCCGAGCATACGATGTTCCAGTTGGTGTTCGGATAGACAATCTTTGTTTATGACGATTTAAAAAATGATCCAGCCAAGCACGACCTGCTTCTTCTTTATTCCCAAACGGATGCTTTATTCCGTTTCGTACAGCCAATTGATAGGCCATTACTTTAACGTCTCTGCGGGTAAGCCCAAAATATTTGCTTTCCATCAGCAGCAGGTATTCGACTAGTTGTTGTTCAATTTCAGTAGAAAAAACGGGTTTTCTACCTAACTTTTTTTCGACAACTTGTTCGGGTGAATATTCGGTGTCGTGAACTAGTCTTTGCAAAGTGCTTTTTGGCACCTTATACAATTTTACAGCCTTTTTCAGGCCCATTTTCTTGGAACGCACCATTTCCACAGCTTCGGCCATTGCTTGTTTGTCCCATGTTTTCCTTTTGCCCTTTGCTTTCGGGGATAATGAACTTCGGGGCATAGTGCAATCTGCAACAATCCATTCCAATTTATACACTCAGGTCAATTATAAATCTTCATATAATATGGAACCCTTGTATATAATATGGACCCAGGTTCCATATTAACAGCAAGCAAGGGGTTCCATATTCAAAAAAAGCACATGCTAATAATCAATTTATTTTTTTTTCTTGGACATCTAAATAAACAAAAGCTTACCTTTCAAAACTCGATATTAGGCAACACTTTCAAGATTTAATGAACAAAATCAACGAATAAATTCACCACAAATCGCTTTATGACTGTGAAAAGCAGAGACAAATAACATTTGATTTTGACGCCAAAGCATAACCTCGAATTAATAGACCACAGTAAAATACTAGGCGATAGAAACCTTCCTGTGGGCTTTTCGGAACGTAATGATCAAGTTTTGGTGAACAAATCATAGATGGCGTTTCTAAATCCTTATTTATGGGGGGGTCCCGTATTACCAGCAGGGTTCCATATTACCACCCTTTCCTCTAATAATAGTTTGATCATCGTGTAAGTAATTTTCTTCTTCTAAAATGTAACAGAATTATATAAAATTCGAATTGTCAAAAACCAAAAGATAACCTTTTTTTAAGGTCATCTAAGTATCTTTGAATTAGCGAATTTTAATATAATCACTACGTGTATATATGCACACATTGCCATATAAGATAAATTATGTTTTACAGGGATAGTTTGAACTCTTTGAATAAAAATATTAAGAAAGAAGTACGTACCCCCATTTTTGATAGTTTGGTATTCACCTTTCAATTGAGACATTTGAATTCGATTTCAAATTTTGCGAATTTGTTGTTTTTTTCTGGAGTTATTTTATGTTATTTATTGCTTATTATAACGTTTGGTTTTGTTTAGAGGTATTATATCTTGGAAGATATTGTGTCAGAGCTTAAATTAATAGTGGCATTATTGCGAATTCCAGAAAAAAAACTGTAAAATATTTAGTTGTGCAGCGTTAACTAACTAATTACATATTTTTCTTGCATTTTTACTGACATTTACAATAAATTATCAAAAACATTTAAAATTCGTCAATTTGATTTAAGTGTTTCAGTAGCGTGCCTGTTATTTTTGTTATTAAATAATTTTTATATCTAATCAATTTTTTTAGAAATAGTATATTTCCTAACAATTTTAACCCCCATTTACTAAATACAAAACAAAACCTACAAATAAGTCAGCCATATTAATTTCCCATCGCGCTCCACGTCATTTTGTTGATAAAATAAGAAAGCGTTTGAAGGTTCAATATATGTAGGATAGAATTTGCTATAAAAAAATTCGGTGCTATTAAAATTAATATATTACTTACAAATAGATATATAACAAACAATAAAAACAACAAAAACAGTCAACAAACTCAAGAAATAAATAGATAAAAATAGACTAGAAAAACAGATGACAAGAATAATAAAGATACACATAAAAAGCACAGTTTAGACTAGTTACAAGAGTTATGTAGGTACAAAGTAGATAAAAAGAAAGAGAGAAAGATTATATGAGATGTGAAGAATTTAGAGGAAAATTTGAGACATTTGAAACTCTTAATCTACTTTAACGTTTTTAATATTCAGATTCTTCTTCTTCTTCCTCAGCTTCCTCACCTTCTTCTGTTTCGGCCGAACCTTCGTCATCTACATAGAAAAAAATGAATAAAAAAGTAAGTTAACTATAAAGAAAAAAATATAATATACCGAGTGAAAATTGAAAGTATTTTAAATTATATGTTTGGTATACACGCTCATGCTGTCTAAAAGCTGAGAGTTGACTGGCTTGCAGTTGGTTCCGGCGGTGCTCAAAATGTATCCATCATTTTTTAAAAAAATTCAAATTTTATAAACTCTCTTATTTTCAATTGATTTTAAAAATGATAAAAAAATATTGTGCTTCTGCCCAGATTTACCACCTCTAATAATTCTTGCACTTGTTTAAGACGCTTCCTCTATAAGTAAATAAGAAATTCAATCTACAGTACGTCTGTCCGTTCTGTAGCTACGGGGCATCCGTGAGAGGGGAAACGATATTCTCTCGATGTTTTTCGTAAAAAAATAGACGACACGTCCCATCAATAAAAATTCAACAAATTTGCAAGTAGCCAATAAAATGAGTGGGCGGAGCGATTTGCGGTGACGCACTCGTCAAATCGACGTATAAAATATATTGCTGTTTATTTAAATGTTTTTTGTCCGCATTTCTTTCATAGACACAGATCCAGCAGATGTACTGTACTCTTTCTAACAAAAGATAAGATATAGATTTAAAAATAAAACCCAAATACATTAGATGGAATTGGGAAATACTTTTAAAACTATATCAAATTGTTATTGTTTTGTTTATAAACATGGTTATTTCCAAGTGATTTATTTATTTTAGGAGAAAGATTTTCATATCTTTATTATAGTGTATCTATTGATTAGTATATTTATTTGTTCGTGGATTTCAAAGAAACGAAAATAATCTGAGGATAATAAAATAAATTGACTCTTGTTGAATGAATTTATAGTGGCATCATAATAAAATGACCTATATAAAATATCCTAAAATTTAGTCTAGATACCTATATTCAGAGTGTCTCTTATGCTGCAACCGCACATGCGGCAGTCGACGATTTCCGAGCGATCGCCTTTCCGTCCACACATGTAGGCATCGGCGAGCTCTGACAGGAATAACATAGAGAATTCCAACTTCCAATTTACCCGTCCACACTGATCGGAGATCGGCGACGGACGCTTGGAAATCGCCAAATGCCGCATTAGAAAAGTGTCAATATTTTTTAAGAGCTGAAAGATCTGGATATAAGGAAACTATTTTCTAATTGCAATCTTTAAAACAAATAAAAAAAAACGAGTTATTTAATTATTTATTATCTTAATTATCCTCAGAAGATGAATTCCCTACCACTCTCGCCAGGGATTTACACAGTATATTTCGTATCATTCATTTCGCATATAAATGACGTCATGGCCAAGTTCGGATGGAACTATAGCCAATAGCCAAGAGAAAAACTTAGCTTTCCTGTTTTTTTTTATTATTTTGAAAAATTTTGAAGATTTAGATGGATTTTTGCTGTTATGTAAGACGATTAGTCAACAGTTGGCAACACTGACCAATTAAATTATTTTTCTAAGGTCGTGCGCCCCCAAGTATTAAGCTCTACGTGCCGCCACTGGTTGGCATGCATTCAAATTGGCCTGGTTAAATCTGCGAAAGCGTCTGTTACGGATATACGTATATGCATGTATGTATCCTAGACTAAACTAGTGGGGCCTGTGCAAGATTTATACGCCAGATAGGTATAATAATGTAAATTAAGTTACTACTAGTCTGCCTATGTCCCCGTGTCGATGAATAATAGACCGTTCCCTTCTGTAAATGCCTCTACGGGATTCCGCTAGATTTTACAACCTTTTAGGTACCTACATTATATCTAGAAACATCATGACTTTTTAATTTAGCTAGATTTTTAAATAATTTTAATTGGTAATACATCTAGACACCTAGACACAAATTTTCATATAAATATCGACGTTAGTTCAAAAATTATATGAAAAAAAAAATTTGCACACATTGTATCTCCGAGTCGAAGCATTTTAAGATATGAAAATATGCGAACTTTTCTATGTACTTATCTTTATCTGCAAAATTAGAAAAGAAGCGAACATTAAAGCGGAAATCAAGAATCTGGATGCTGGAACACTCCATCCGTAAGTCCTCGAAAGACCTAAAACACTTGAAGAAATTTCTCAGGTCTTAGGACCGAGAACAATCAAAGATTTTCCTTGGTTAAGTAAGAACAATATTTGGATTGTCACGGGGATTTTAACAGTACACTGTCCCCTCAATGAACAAGTCAGTAAACAGAAGCCAAGAATAAGTAACAACGACGAATGCGGATAAAATGTGGATAAAATGAGGGAACACTGGAACACCAGAACACCTCACTTCACTGAGCGCACCGAGACGACAACTATTAAAATACTTACGTACTAAATATTTACTTCAATATTTTTAAAATAGTTTATTTAATATAGAAAAATACAACGTGTAATTCTATATAACTTCGTGTGTCTGAAATTATATGGGTTTCTTACTATAATCATTTGGAATATAAGCAATAATTTGTATAAAATTATGTAGAATGTTCATTTTTCCTTGTAATTCGGGCTAGCGGCTTGTTTAGAATTGCAAATTTCTTGCGCTACATATACGTCCAAACAACACTTAATGTGTTAGAAACACGAAGTTCTAGATTAGGGAACATTCGATCGGGACTATACTTTTGGAACATGAAACGTATAATTTTTGTGATGAAATTTCTTACACAAACTTAGAACTGTTCATTTTACAATTAGTTAAGACATAATAAATCATTGTTCTGTATCAGAGCTTCTCTATAATTAACTCATACGTTTTAAGCTAGAGCACGTGCATATAGGAATTGTCTTCTTATGATCAAGTTTCTTTTAGAAGAAAGGATTTTTTTCTTAAATAATGTTTAGTCATTTTGAGGGCTCTATAACTTTTAAATTAAAATTATAACCGATTTTGAGACAAATTTTATGAATATCTGTTCTAGTAGTATATTTTGCACAAAAGTTCATGGTGTGTCAATATTATATTAATTAATTTTAAAAAAATTAATTAATTTAGTCCTCTCCGGGGAGTAAACTAAAATTTAATGAAAATCTGGACAGAAGCATGAAATTTTACTTAAAAGTTCATGAAGTGACATAATTCAGAAACAGAAAAGCTATTTTAGAAATTCATTCCTTTCTGGGGGTAAGATGGAACTAGTATTTGTGACTAAAATGGAAGTAAGTGAAACATTGTGCAAAAATGTTTTACAGTTGATTTTAGAAACATGATAAATTATATACCGTATGATCGAAAAAAAAGGATTCAAAGATAGCTGAGGATTTATAATCGACGATAGTTTTGGCGGGGTCAAACACTAGACGTCATTTACTAAAAATTGACAAAACTTGTCAAAAATTAACACTAATAATTAGATTAAGATAGAATATCTACCTTCCGCTGCTTCATTGCTTTCAGCTCCCTCAGCTTTATCCGATGACGATTCACCTTCGTAGAAAACTGTTCCTGATCCGCCACCACCGAAGAAATCGTATTCAGATTCGGCCTTTCTTTTTGGTTGTTTCTTGTCTTCCCTGAAATAATTTTAGACATTTTTTAAATTGCATAAAATCTAAAAAAAAAGTTATGGCCCATGGGGGGATCGAACCCACGACCTTCGCGTTATTAGCACGACGCTCTAACCAACTGAGCTAATGGGCCGACGCGCTAACGTTCCTTAAAACATGTATTAGAACTCCTTACTTATTTATTAGAAAGTAAAAAAAATACTTACGAATCTAACTCAGTAAAAACTGTATAGGATTTCTTGGTTTCTTCTCCATCGTCTTCCTTATCATCATCACCACCGGCTGCATAAAAAAATAGAATATCTATATTTAGTATACGGGTGAGATAAAAGGTTCCGAAAAAAAACTAGGCACCTATATATTCATCAAAAGTTTCCTATTTCAGATTTTAACTCAATTATTTTTTTTGTATGAGGGAAATACCGTATGATCGAAAAAAAACGGCGTCGAGCTGGTTTGGAAAAGAACATCGATGATATTCCCCATCACAAATTTAGAACTGTTCATTTTATAATTAGTTAAGAGAAAATAAATCGTTGTTGTGTATCGGGGCTTCTCTATATAATTAACTCATACGTTTTAATATACTATATTATATATATAATATATATACTGGGTGCGTCTCAAAATCAAAAGTGGCTCACCCCTATAGGTAACTTTTTTATTTTTTTAGATAACAAAACGAGATTTGGTATGTTATTATGACATAAATTATGATTGATGGGCTAATTCAATTGTTTTTGGTCGTTGGCATATGATATGTCATTCTATTCAGAGTGTCATTTTCTATCAAATAAAGTAAAAAAATACCAAGGGTGCCATTTAAAAATCATAAGTTGTGGTCATTTCCGATGAAACAGGAATGACTAAAAACATATGAATACTTCAATCAATCCTAGTTTATGTCATATTTAAGTATCTGAAAAAAATAAAAAAGTTATAGGGGTAAGCCACTTTTGAGGCGCACCCGGTATAGAAATTTTACATATAAAATGACAGCTCTCCTCATTTCATAGCCATTTTTAGATGCCGTTTTTTTTCGATCGGTATAAGTCATATTTGAAAAATAGTATCTTTTAAAAACTAATCATACTAAAATAGAGGCTACATTTGCTTTGAATGTAGCGATACTACAGGGTGGGTCAAAACATCGATTTTTATTAAACAAATATTTTTTGAAGAGAATATGCAATAATTGTTGATTTATTCTTTCAGTTTATTTGAAAACAACTGTAATAATATATTAGTGTGTGTTTAAAAATAAGTACGGTGTACTTTTCTAGAATTATTAATACCGTTATCGATATAATTAAAATTAACTTTCGTAAAATTTATTGCTTATAGAAAATTAAAATTACTATGAATCTGAGCTCTAAATAGTTTTTTAAATCTGCGGAAAGATATTTTTTAAAAAGTCATGAGCATTATTCTGACGTCAAATACGCGTCCTCATTTGAAAGATAATATACCCTGGATGAAATAGGAAACATGATATGGAGCTTTCTCGAAATACTCTGGGTCACCCTGTAAACAGGTGTAAAAAATAGTGTACCATATTGCTCAGCAAGAATAAAGTACGGATTACAACAGGTCTCTTGACTGTCCACAGCCATGTGTCCACTAGTTCCACCAGTGCCACTGCACTGCTACCTGAACAAGCTTAAGCTGTGTCAAGTAGTCTATGCTGCAGAATCAGCGAAAAAAAATCCTGAAAGAGCAGATCACGAAATATGTTACTGCAAGGCTCTGGATCGCATGCGATACCTTCTATTTGGGAAAGCAAGGATAGAAAGGGAGAAACTATGCTCCCATTCTATTAAGGACCTGCACAAGCTGGTGTAGGCCACAAGGATAGGAAAGTGATATATATTTTTCAAATCAGTTAAAAATTGTCTACCGAAAGATGGTTAAAATATGGGGGGTTTTCGTTTAAAAAATCAAGATGGCAACGTATCTGTCAAAATTGACGTTTTAAAAAAAATTAAGTAGAAAATTGGGCATCCTCGCTAAAAATTACATTAATTTTTTTTTTGTTGAGTTTAAATAGGAAACAGGAAAATTGTAAATTGATTAGTGATACAAATGATTTTCCTGTAGTACATGTGTTTTTACGAGAAAAATGGACAGACTCTCATCACTTTATCGAAGCAAAGTGAAACGTTTCATGTATAAATAATATGTGAATACACACTAAAATACAGTGCGGTTGCAGGCAGAAACACTACGTGCCGGAAACGATACGTTTATGATAATGTGCACAGACCTTTACAGGTCGCAGGGTTTCTGGCATAGAACGGAACCGTAATATTGAGAATAAGAAACTAGTATCACCTACTGGAATTTGGTACACTATTTTTAACACAAATTTTAAACATAAAAAATTAAATCATTACATTCGGCGTCAGATTCCTTGATGGCCTTATCGTTCTCATTCTCTATGAAAGCGCGGTTGTCTTGGCCGAACTCTGTATGTTTCTCGTAGCCATACTTGTCGCCGTCTTTTTTATGAAAACTGTCGAAATGTTTGTAGCCATCTTGTCCTTTATCGTTCGTTTTTTTCGAGTAACCGTGCACGTCTCCATCGTCGTTTTCCGCGTCGCCATAGACATAGAGAAAAGCGTCTTTTACACCTAAAATACCAGATCAATTTTAATCTAATACGATCGAAAAAAAAACGCCTTCAACGACGGCTGGGTATGACGATCGATAAGAATTTTGACTAGGTCAAACCCTAGACGTCCTTACTTGGCCCGTGCTCTTCTTTATGTTTTAATAGCGCCTACTGTCAGCTAGTCTAAAGAAAATTATATGTACCTAATTTATTCTTATATTGAGTGAAAATTATTTTTAAATAGTGTAGTTTAAAAAAATCACTTTTCATATCGCGTATCGTATCACGGTCTTCAATTTTTACTCCCAGCGCTTTCATAACTAGTGGATATTTTCTGAGTTTTCTTTCTTGTAAATTTAATCTACTGCAACCTATGTTGCCATATTATTATCAAGAAATTATGTCTTTTAAATCAAAATATTCCAATTTTTTTTTCAAAAAAACTCCAAATTTTTAAAACCTCAAGACCTGTTTCTGGGGTCGAAATATACTACCCCTAAAAATATTTGCATTTATTTAAAATCCACCCTCTATATAAATTTAAAATATAAAAATCATTATTACAAAAAAATACTAGTAATTAAGTCAATTTTTAAGCTATAACATCCGTCAAAATGTTAAAAATTTTTACAAAAATTATCAATTACGTGCCAATATGGACAAAATTCTGATGCGGGTTATCAATCACGCGTTTTTTTTTAATTAAACAATTAATTATAACTAGGTGTTACTATTACGATAGTCGTCAAATATAGAAGGTTTTTGAACATTGTACATCACTTTAAAAAAAACATCATTTTCGGGAGAAAATATCAATGTTAAAATTGATACAGGGTAGTCCCATTGTATCCTGTGAAAAGTTTGATCTAAAAATTCTCATATTTTAGAAATCACTCATGAAATGAAGTAAAGCTTAATAAAGTTACCTACTAGACGTCAGTTGAACTCAAATAATTTAAAATTATATCTTAAAAGAAATTAATAAGTGGAAGCAAAATGATACTAAAACAGATATAAAATGGATGGAGGCTTTTCAGTATTTTTTTAGAAGAGAAGTTTTACTTTAACATACACAAAAATATTGAATTTTGTTTCTCTTTACTAATGTTCACACCGAAAGAGTGTTTTTTAAAGCTGTAGACAAGTACAGAAAAGACAGAATTATCTCTCCTTTTTTAAAATGTATGGTAATTGGTAATTACAAAATGTAGTATGACGGGATCCGGCAAATAGTTTGTCAAAAAAGTTAAGAGATAATCAACTCTTAAAAATATTTATTTTTTCGAAAAATATACGTGATTTTCGACAGAATATTTTATAGTTTCCAATACATATTTTTAAGGCATTAATTTTTTTTTTTTAATTAAAAATAATTGCTATATATTTTTTTAAGGTTTTCACACAAATAAATAATTTCTAAAGCTCATTCAGATATTTTTTATGTAAAAATTAAATAACGCGTCCTATATACTATCTGGTCATTTTTACACTTTAAATAAAATTAAGAAATCAAGAGAGCACTATAGATCTAGAAAGGTGGCGGTGAAATATAGCCAATAACTACGCCACAAAATCTAATCTAATCGCTAACCTGGTTTAATCAAATCAGATATATGTCCTGGAGCCGCCCTAGCTTCCCTCACCGTGCTTTCTACAGTAGCTGTATCGCCGGGACCTTCAAACATCAACTCATCCTTGATCGGTTGAGCGCTGATGCTCAAACTCGCAACGGAAATGATGACGAGGCACATCTGCATCTTGAACCTAAATTAACACAATCACAACCGAATTGACAAAAATACACCTTTGAAATTAGTGATCGGCGAGGCTGGTCTTGGTCTTGATAAAAAGCAAGATAAAGAGCAACTCCAAGTACATTTGGATTGTATCATGAAAGTGATATACTTTTTAGCGTTAATTATTATGACTTATTTATAACGGGTGTTTCAAATTCCACACTCATAATTGGGATCTAGAAAACGGTAAGAGATGTAGAATGTAGGGAAGGGGGTTAATCACCGCGACATTACAGATTTATTGTATCCCCCTTTCTTGAACTATAACTCATCGTACAGTCTCAAGGCTCTGACAACAACCCGTATCTGAGACGTTTTTACAGAGATTATAGTACTCCATCTCCGATATCAGTCGTACCTAGGTTTATAGCACGAGTGGTTGTCGTCTCAGCACACTCACTCATAAGATGATCTGGTGTTTCCCCATTTTCCCTACAGAATCTACATTCGGCGTTGATTCTTAGGTTCAATCTACTGAGGTGTTCATTAAGGACAAAGTAAACCTCGTGACAATCCAAAGATTGTTCTTACTTAAGTCAAGGAAAATCTTTTATTTATCTCTGTCGTAAGTTCTGAGAAATTTCTTCGAGTCTTTCAGGTACTTGAGTTCCGCTTTAAGTTGGTTTCCACTTGGGAAGCAGAAAGGTTCCAGTCCATTTAGTGGAGTATTCGCTCCTGTTCTAGCTAGATGGTCTGCTTTTTCGTTTCTATCCCATAGCAGAGAGAGCAGTTGACCCTCAGCGTAGGAGGACTGTATTTTCTTTGTCTAATGTGTTCAACTACTCTAGGCATTATTTGACGGTAAGAGATACACTCGGTGGTTTAAATTGTTGCAAAGCTGCGTGTTAGGGAGCCCAATGATATTCGGTTTAGTAATTGAATTTATCTTTGTCAATGGCGTATTACCTTTGTCAATTATTTTGACTGTTAGAAAACATCTATAGAGACGTTCTCAAACAACTTTCTTAGTTTCATCATTTGGATACATGAAAAATCACTTACGTCGTTTCATTTTTTTTGGTCTCTCATCAACTTAATCTTTTTTTATATACGGATATGGGTTACGTTTGGAAGTTAATAAACTTCTAAAATATGCGTTCAAAAATCCAGGTCTATAATTAAAATAACAAAGTTGTTATTTATTATACAAAGGAAAACGAAAGGTCTTAATGATTTTTAACATCGCTAAAGTAAACTCGTAAAAATCTGTCAAAGTAAACTCGTAAAAATGTAAAACAAATACCGGAAATTTCAGTCTTTTTGCAATATTTGCGAAAATTACAAAGATAAGTTCAATACTGACGGATTATCTTTGTGTTCATTAACAGGCAACTTGCTCCAATTCAAGCCACCCAGTGATGAGAGTCGAATTTTAAACACCAGGTATTCATAATCACATAGCAAAAATAAATACTTTTGTGACGTTTGAAAAGAAAACTTTAAAATTTTTTACGTACCGGAAGTTGATTTGATGGAATCGATCGTATTCCTGGTCAAAAACGACCAAAAACTATACCGTAACACTTCTCTTTAAGACAAATATATTGATGTCTGTCGAGACTGGCGCATAATAATGTGACCAAGCTTTTATAAATCATTTTTTGTCTATCGTTTTTAAGGTATAGGGGGAAATTGGGAATTTTATGCGGTTTTCGAACGGTTAGATAACTGAGAAATTACATTACCTAACGGCGATACTGTAGTAATAACAAAAGAGCACGAAACACTGTTGCAACTGTGTAGGGGAGAGTAGTCTAAACCGTACCGCCTTATACAAAAGTTTAAAAAATTATTATCAAATTTTTCGTTAACTGTCGTGTTGATTACTGCGAATAGTTCTTGCATGCCGCCTGATGATATTGTTCTCTAATCCATTGGGCAGATGGACTGACTTAACTTTAAAGATGTAGTTAAAAGCAGTTGAAAAAGTATTAAATATACTTTTTTTGCCTTTGTGAGCAGTGAGATTTATATTTCATACGTTACAAATTACATCAGAATTTGAATATATTTTTTTAATAGAAGTGTCATGGATCGTCTGACAGAGTTACATACTGTGTAGAAGAAGTCCTGTACTAATACAAACTAGTTTCTGACACGCAATGGCAGACTTTCTTTAATTAGTTTATTATCAAATAGCGTTGTAACATAAAAGCCTATTAGCTTTACTTTAAACCGCAAATTTTGTACACGCTGAATTCAATTTGTTTTATTTAAAAGTATACCAATAAATAATAATAGTTCAACTATTCTTTGTAAATTGAAGAGAAATAAAGTTTTCTATATCTCAATTGTATTTCTTGGGACCGGTGAACTATCCTGACACAATTTTTAAATAAAAATAAATGGAGATTATGCATAGAATTTTAAAATATTTTAATATAATTTTAGTAGTTTTTGACACAAATTTGACGTTATGGAGAATTTTAACACTTCAAAAAATTTACAATTAAATTTTTCTGAAAATTTACAATTTTCTTGAAAAATTACACTTCTGAAAATTTACAATTTTCTTGAAAAATTACACTTCTGAAAATTTACAATTTTGAAAAATTACATTTTCTCTGAAAATTTACACTTTTTCTGTAAAATTACATTTTTCTTGAAAAGTTACACTTTTCCTGAAAATTTACACTTTTTTTGTAAATTTACACTTTTTCTGAAAAATTGCAGTTTCTATGAAAAATTACACATTTCCTGAAAGTTTATACATTTTTTGAAAAATTTCACTTTTTCTGAAAATTTATACTTTTTCTGAAAATTTACCCTTTTTTTGTAAATTTACACTTTTTCTGAAAAATTGCAGTTTCTATAAAAAATTACACTTTTCCTGAAGTTTTCACATTTTTTGAAAAATTTCACTTTTTCCGAAAATTTACACTTTTCAATCGAATTTTTTTTTAATTATTAAAATGTAAAAAAAAGTAATTATCAGAAACAGTATAATTTTTCAAAAAAAGTAAATTTTTTAAAAAAACGTAATTTTACAGAAAAAGTGTAAATTTTTAAAAAAAGTGTAGTTTTTCAAAAAAAGTGTAAATTTTTAGAAAAAGTGTAAATTTTACAAAAAAGTAACGATTTTGCCACTGCAGGGACCTATTGATTTTCATATTTTTTTGAAGTTAAATAAAAAATTACAAAATGTACGTATTGTTTGGGAAAATTGGAATCGTCTCACAAAAAGAATATTTGACATATAAAAATATATTATGTAATAAGAGTTTGGATTTGATGTTAGTAAATTAAAATTAATAAGTCTCGTAAAAATTACGGGGCCCTGAGTGAGAATGTGATTTTGTGATCTAGTCTAGGCCGATGTGTTGGGAGTTGCGAACAAAAATCGCAATATTACCGCTCTATATGCCGCAATATCGCCGTTTTTCGTTGACGTGCCAACTTCCGATGCCGCGCCACGCCACGCCGGTGCCAATGAAAGTCGCAATCGCAATGCTGCGATGAGCTGTTATTTTCGTTCAGCTCCTCGTTCGCCTGCCACTGCCGTGTCGAAGACGCGCCGCCGCCCGCCCGTTGCGAACGAGAATCGCAATGTTTGGCGATTTTGCCACTGCGAAGACAGTGCTTTATATCCTTCAGAGCCTTCAATTTAATAGCTGTTAGTAAGAAGTTTTATTTGAAATATGTGCAGCCAAGGCCAGGCCAAATGAATGAATAAAATGAGGGCTTAGACCAAGAATGAGAATGAGCCAGGTAAGAATGAGGAATAGATCAGACCAAGATGAGTTCAAGACCAGATCCAATTAGACCAGACCAAGAATGAATGAATAGACCAGATAGACCAAGGCCAGACCAGAATGAGCCAAGATCAAGAGATAGAATAGGTTGCCAACCCTGCTGCCAAGGAGCCGGTTGACCCATAGCTGCCAAAGAAATAGGATTTTCGAGCTGCTACCAAAAACCGGTACCAACCCTGCTACCAAAAACCGGTACCAACCCTGCTACCAAGAACCGCTACCAACCCTGCTGCCAAAAGCAATTTTCAACCCTGCTACCAAAAACCGCTACCAACCCTGCTACCAAAAACCGGTACCAACCCTGCTACCAAAAACCGGTACCAACCCTGCTACCAAAAACCGGTACCAACCCTGCTACCAAAAACCGGTACCAACCCTGCTACCAAAAACCGCTACCAACCCTGCTACCAAAAACCGCTACCAACCCTGCTACCAAAAACCGCTACCAACCCTGCTACCAAAAACCGCTACCAACCCTGCTACCAAAAACCGGTACCAACCCTGCTACCAAAAACCGGTACCAACCCTGCTACCAAAAACCGGTACCAACCCTGCTACCAAAAACCGGTACCAACCCTGCTACCAAAAACCGGTACCAACCCTGCTACCAAAAACCGGTACCAACCCTGCTACCAAAAACCGGTACCAACCCTGCTACCAAAAACCGGTACCAACCCTGCTACCAAAACCCGGTACCAACCCTGCTACCAACAACCGGTACCAACCCTGCTACCAAACCCCGCTACCAACCCTGCTAACAAAAACCGCTACCAACCCTGCTACCAAAAACCGCTACCAACCCTGCTACCAAAAACCGCTACCAAAAACCGCTACAAACCCTGCTACCAAAAACAGCTACCAACCCTGCTACCAACAACCGCTACCAACCCTGCAACCAAAAACCGCTACCAAAAACCGCTACAAACCCTGCTACCAAAAACAGCTACCAACCCTGCTACCAACAACCGCTACCAACCCTGCAACCAAAAACCGCTACCAAAAACCGCTACAAACCCTGCTACCAAAAACAGCTACCAACCCTGCTACCAACAACCGGTACCAACCCTGCTACCAAAACCCGCCACCAACCCTGCTACCAAAAACCGCTACCAACCCTGCTACCAAAAACCGGTACAAACCCTGTTACCCAAAACGTACCAACTCCCTGCTACCAAAACCGCTACCAACCCTGCTACCAAAAACCGCTACCAACCCTGCTACCAAAAACCGCTACCAACCCTGCTACCAAAAACCGCTACCAACCCTGCTACCAAAAACCGGTACCAACCCTGCTACCAAAAACCGCTACCAACCCTGCTACCAAAAACCGCTACCAACCTGACTACAAAACCGGTACCAACCCTGCTACCAAAACCGGTACCAAACCTGCTACCCAAAAACCGGTACCAAACCCTGCTACCAAAAACCGGTACAAACCCTGCTACCAAAAACCGGTACCAACCCTACTACCAAAAACCGCTACCAAAAACCGCTACAAACCCTGCTACCAAAAACAGCTACCAACCCTGCTACCAAAAAACGCTACCAACCCTGCTACAAAAAACCGCTACCAACCCAGCTACCAAAAACCGCTACAAACCCTGCTACCAAAAACAGCTACCAACCCTGCTACCAAAACCCGGTACCAACCCTGCTACCAAAAAACGCTACCAACCCTGCTACAAAAAACCGCTACCAACCCAGCTACCAAAAACCGCTACAACCCCTGCTACCAAAAACCGGTACAAACCCTGCTACCAAAAACCGGTACAAACCCTGCTACCAAAAACAGCTACCAACCCTGCTACCAAAACCCGCTACCAACCCTGCTACCAAAAACCGCTACCAACCCTGCTACCAAAAACCGCTACCAACCCTGCTACCAAAAACCGCTACCAACCCTGCTACCAAAAACCGGTACCAACCCTGCTACCAAAAACCGGTACCAACCCTGCTACCAAAAACCGGTACAAACCCTGCTACAAAACCCGGTACCAACCCTGCTACCAAAACCGGTACCAACCCTGCTACCAAACACCGCTACCAACCCTGCTACCCAACACCGCTACCAACCCTGCTACCAAAAACCGCTACCAACCCTGCTACCAAAAACCGCTACCAACCCTGCTACCCAAAAAAAACTGCTACCAACCCTGCTACCGAAAACCGCTACCAACCCTGCTACCAAAAACCGCTACCAACCCTGCTACCAAAAACCGCTACCAAAAACCGCTACCAACCCTGCTACCAAAAACCGCTACCAACCCTGCTACCAAAAACCGCTACCAACCCTGCTACCAAAAACCGCTACCAACCCTGCTACCAAAAACCGCTACCAACCCTGCTACCAAAAACCGCTACCAACCCTGCTACCAAAAACCGCTACCAACCCTGCTACCAAAAACCGCTACCAACCCTGCTACCAAAAACCGCTACCAACCCTGCTACCAAAAACCGCTACCAACCCTGCTACCAAAAACCGCTACCAACCCTGCTACCAAAAACCGCTACCAACCCTGCTACCAAAAACCGCTACCAACCCTGCTACCAAAAACCGCTACCAACCCTGCTACCAAAAACCGCTACCAACCCTGCTACCAAAAACCGCTACCAACCCTGCTACCAAAAACCGCTACCAACCCAGCTACCAAAAACCGTGGTACCAACCCTGCTACCCAAAACCGGGATACACCCTGCTACCCAAAACCGGTACCAACCCTGCTACCAAAAACCGCTACCAACCCTGCTACCAAAAACCGCTACCAACCCTGCTACCAAAAACCGCTACCAACCCTGCTACCAAAAACCGCTACCAACCCTGCTACCAAAAACCGCTACCAACCCTGCTACCAAAAACCGCTACCAACCCTGCTACCAAAAACCGATACCAACCCTGCTACCAAAACCGGTACCCACCCCCTGCTACCAAAAACGGTACCAAACCCTGCTACCAAAAACAGCTACCAACCCTGCTACCAACAACCGCTACCAACCCTGCAACCAAAAACCGCTACCAAAAACCGCTACCAAAAACCGCTACCAACCCTGCTACCAAAAACCGGTACAAACCCTGCTACCAAAAACCGATACCAACCCTGCTACCAACAACCGGTACCAACCCTGCTACCAAACCCCGCTACCAACCCTGCTAACAAAAACCGCTACCAACCATGCTACCAAAAACCGCTAACAACCCTACTACCAAAAACCGCTACCAAAAACCGCTACAAACCCTGCTACCAAAAACAGCTACCAACCCTGCTACCAAAACCGGTACCAACCCTGCTACAAAAAACCGCTACCAACCCAGCTACCAAAAACCGCTACCACCCCTGCTACCAAAAACCGGTACAACACCTGCTACCCAAACCGGTACCAACCCTGCTACCAAACCCGACAGGTACCAACCCTGCTTACCACAAAAACCAGGGTACCAACCCTGCTACCAAACCCCGCTACCAACCCTGCTAACAAAAACCGCTACCAACCCTGCTACCAAAAACCGCTACCAACCCTGCTACCAAAAACCGCTACCAACCCTGCTACCAAACCGGGACCAACCCTGTACCAAAACCGGTACCAACCCTACTACCAAAAACCGCTACCAAAAACCGCTACCAACCCTGCTACCAAAAACCGCTACCAACCCTGCTACCAAAAACCGCTACCAACCCTGCTACCAAAAACCGCTACCAACCCTGCTACCAAAAACCGCTACCAACCCTGCTACCAAAAACCGTTACCAACCCTGCTACCAAAAACCGCTACCATCCCTGCTACCAAAAACCGCTACCAACCCTGCTACCAAAAACCGCTACCAACCCTGCTACCAAAAACCGCTACCAACCCTGCTACCAAAAACCGCTACAAACCCTGCTACCAAAAACCGCTACCAACCCTGCTACCAAAAACCGCTACCAACCCTGCTACCAAAAACCGCTACCAACCCTGCTACCAAAAACCGCTACCAACCCTGCTACCAAAAACCGCTACCAACCCTGCTACCAAAAACCGCTACCAACACTGCTACCAAAAACCGCTACCAACCCTGTTACCAAAAACCGCTACCAACCCTGCTACCAAAAACCGCGTACAACCCTGCTACCCAAAACCGGGATACACCCTGCTACCCAAAACCGCTACCAACCCCGCTACCAAAAAACCGCTACCAACCCTGCTACCAAAAACCGCTACAAACCCTGCTACCAAAAACCGCTACCAACCCTGCTACCAAAAACCGCTACCAACCCTGCTACCAAAAACCGCTACCAACCCTGCTACCAAAAACCGCTACCAACCCTGCTACCAAAAACCGCTACCAACCCTGCTACCAAAAACCGCTACCAACCCTGCTACCAAAAACCGCTACCAACCCTGCTACCAAAAACCGCTACCAACCCTGCTACCAAAAACCGGTATACCGTTTGCTATCAATTTACCTACTTACTTTTCCAATAGCCCAATGTTCTAACTGCCAATATGCAACTAATGCAAAACACCACATGGGAGCACAAATTATAGCTAAAAGAAAATCTAAAATAGTGTATTCACTATGCTGAACGAAAATCTCAGCTCATCGCAGCATTGCGATTGCGATTTTCGTTAGCACCGACGCGACATCGGCATCGGGAGTGGGCACGCCAACGAAAAGCGGCGATATTGCGGCATATAGGGCGGTAATATTGCTACTTTCGTTCGCAACTCCTAACACATCATCCTAGACTAGATCGCAAAATCACCTTCTAGTTAGGGCCACGTAATTTTTATGAGACTTATTAATTTTAATTTACTAACATCAAATCCAAGCTCTTATTACATAATATATTTTTATATGTCAAATATTCTTTTTGTGAGACGATTCCAATTTTCCCAAAAAATACGTACATTTTGTAATTTTTTATTTAACTTCAAAAAAATATGAAAATCAATAGGTCCCTGCAGTGGCAAAATCGTTACTTTTTTGTAAAATTTACACTTTTTCTGAAAATTTACACTTTTTCTGTACATTTACATTTTTTCTAAAAAATTGCACTTTTTTGTAAAATTTACACTTTTCCTGAAAGTTCACACATTTTTTTAAAAATTTCACTTTTTCTGTAAATTTACACTTTTTCTGGAAAATTTCACTTTTTCTGAAAATTTACACTATTTCTAAAAATTTACACTTTTTTTAAAAATTTACACTTTTTTTAAAAATTTACACTTTTTCTGTAAAATTACGTTTTTTTAAAAAATTTACTTTTTTTGAAAAATTATACTGTTTCTGATAATTACTTTTTTTTACATTTTTATAATTAAAAAAAAATTCGATTGAAAAGTGTAAATTTTCGGAAAAAGTGTAATTTTTCAAAAAAAGTGTAAATATTTAGAAATAGTGTAATTTTTCAGATAAAGTAAAATTTTTCAGAAAAAGTGTAAATTTACAAAAAAAGTGTAAATTTTCAGGAAAAGTGTAATTTTTCAAGAAAATTGTAATTTTACAGAAAAAGTGTAAATTTTCAGAGAAAATGTAATTTTTCAAAATTGTAAATTTTCAGAAGTGTAATTTTTCAAGAAAATTGTAAATTTTCAGAAGTGCAATTTTTCAAGAAAATTGTAAATTTTCAGAAAAATGTAATTGTAAATTTTTTGAAGTGTTAAAATTCTCCATAACGTCAAATTTGTGTCAAAAACTACTAAAATTATATTAAAATATTTTAAAATTCTATGCATAATCTCCATTTATTTTTATTTAAAAATTGTGTCAGGATAGTTCACCGGTCCCAAGAAATACAATTGAGATATAGAAAACTTTATTTCTCTTCAATTTACAAAGAATAGTTGAACTATTATTATTTATTGGTATACTTTTAAATAAAACAAATTGAATTCAGCGTGTACAAAATTTGCGGTTTAAAGTAAAGCTAATAGGCTTTTATGTTACAACGCTATTTGATAATAAACTAATTAAAGAAAGTCTGCCAATGCGTGTCAGAAACTAGTTTGTATTAGTACAGGACTTCTTCTACACAGTATGTAACTCTGTCAGACGATCCATGACACTTCTATTAAAAAAATATAATTCCTATCCAGGGGCATACATTGTTTATTTCCAATAGTTTACAAGATATAGGGCAGCTTATTCTTCGATACCTAACAAACATAAATATTATTAAGCTTGGCCCTAGGGTTCCCTAGATATTGGAAAGAGGTATATAGCAAATTCAATCATTCAGTCTTCAACTTATACCTTTAAAAAAATATGAGATAAGATATCTGTAAAAGTGGGGTCCGTTTCACTTTAGGGCTGTCCAAATTAACAAATTTTCTATAAAATCAAGTGGATATTCTGCCGTTTTAGACTAAACTAAAGAACTTGAGTTGAGGAAAAATGCGATGTTTTGTAAAATAAGCGAGAAAAATTTTCTAACCTCAAAAATATTTTTGTGCTTTTTCATAGCTTTTCGTGCAATAGTTTTTAAGAAAATTAATGAATATATAAAATATATATAAAATACCAAAAAACACCAGAGACTAACCAACGCGATCAAAATACGCCTACGGCGTATTTTGATCGCCGTTACCAACAACTCTAAATAAATAAAAAATATACAAGCGTAACGTTAATTTAAAAGCGTCCATGTTCCCGGTATGAGCATGCGCGTTAGAGCAACAAGACGCCATCCGTCAATCGGAACGTAAATATCCAATAAATATCGAACACCCGACATTACTCCGCAATATATAAATCATATTATAAATCATATTATAAATCATATTATAAATCATATTATAGCTAAGAAAATCACATAAATTAGGTGTAAGAATAGAGAAATCTTAAAGTAGCAGAAAAATTAATGCAATATATGTATAAGCAGAATTACACAAGGTAAAACTGTTAATGTTGCTGAAGCTGATTCTACAATTTTAATTACGGAGGCTAAAAGGCCTTTTAAGGCCTCCGTAGTTTTGATGGAATGTTAAAAAAACCTATTATGAACATGACATGGAGCTACAGCATTTAAAAATTAAAAAAAAAAGGAAAACTTGGACATATAATTTCCAGAATTTTTAATAAAGCCCTTTTTAAACGTAGCATAATAATCTAGAGCAATTAGATTAATTATAGGAATCTAGAGTTTTATTTCTATTTAATTTTATTGACTATGAAAATACATAATAAGCGTTCACGTGTTGTGCGAAATATTAAAATAATAATATAAATCCTTGATATAAATAATATACCGGCGTACTATGATTGAAAAAAAAAATAGCGTTAGCCGATGACTATGAAATGAAGATCGCTGTCATTTTATATGGGAAATGTCCTCAATCGTCATTTCCCAGCCAACTGGACGCCGTTTTCTCAATCATACGGTATATATTGACAAAAAATTTATTTTATTTTATTCTTATTTTATTTTATTTGGCTGTATGAACCCACCATTCCTCGAAATGAAAGAGCTAAAATTGCACAAATAGAATACTAGATGGCGCGACAATATCATAATCAGAATATAATTAGAAATTTTGAACTTTCGGTTTTGGATCGACGGCTCGTCGACGGCCTTATAGCTCGGCTAAATATGCACAGTTGCCAAGTTCAAAAAGACTTGAATTGGCATCCCATTCTTTTTATTGTGTATAATGCAGTATGTGTTTCTTTCTATTCTTCTTTTCTTGTCAGATACACTTATATTAATTATTCCTTTGGCTATTAAAATAGTTTTAAGTATATTATTACAAAACATATATATTTTTAATATACACTATACCTTATAATGTTAACTAAGAAAATACCTTTAATTACCTTTGAAATTAATAATATACAGGGCGATTGATAGTGATATTTATTAATGCTGGAACGTTAGTAATGAAATATAAGTTTAATAATAATGGAAATAATTTATTAAAATGCAGTACAAAAAATGTTAACTGACTAAAAAATACTATAATAACAAATTTCTTCTGTTTGCCACGTTATTTATATAGACCTAGGTAGATTTTAAAAAGTGACACAGGTACAATTAATAATATATTAGTTCGGCATAAAAGTTGCTGTCACGACATCGAACAAAAAATTAAAATTCGTAAAATAAATTAAAATTATTAATTAAACAAATCTTTATAAAGAAACGCAAGTATACCAAATTTGGGCCCAATCGAACTCCAGGAAATGATATCATAATAGTGTACTATATTATGGTACCACTCGATATACTTTAAGGTACCATCATATTACAAATGTAACCGAAGATACGTAGTATAACAAGTTTAAGTCCAATCGAACGCCAGGAAATGGTATCGTAATATGGTACCTCTTTTATGCTCCATGGTACCATAATATTACAATATCACCGAAGATACGTAGTATCCCAAATTTAAGCCCAATCGAACGCCATGTGTAGCTAGATATTCTGTGCCCATACATATACCTTTAAAAAATATATTTACGACTTCGCTGTAAAATCAACAAGTTAGTTATTTGAACAGTTCAAAATTTGCATAGGACTTCCTATGTTTCCAAAGACCAATGCACCATCCGGTATATGCCTAATTTATTTCAAATACTTTATTTTGAAAATAACTTCCAGTAAATACAAAACTTTGCGAACTTGAGAACACTTGAGAACGAGAACGTGCATACGCATCGCATAACCTTGCCGGTGCCAAGGCGCTAGATGCGAGTTTGGCAACTATGTTGGCAACCCTGGCTAGAGTGGCTAGTCTGTTTCAGGCTGGTTTTTTTCGTGGTATATTTTGTGTTCTGTGTTCTGTGGTCTGTTTCTTTTTTCAGGTTATAAACTATAATCTGATGTTTATAAATAATTATTTTCTTGTTATGTCTTAAAATCAGAGAGATATAAAATGTCTTCTAAAAGAAAGCCGGATTCGCAAGTTCCCGCCGAGGAAAGTGATCAGTTGATTATTCGTCCACTGTGAGATATATAAAATTACATATTTTTCTTAAATTAACAGTATTTTTGTAGGGGTGCTGGTCAAGAAGTAGGAAGATCATGTATTATGATAGAGTTTAAGGGCAAAAAAATAATGGTAAACAATTCTATATAATTAGGATTAATTTATAGCTTAGCGACTTTTTCTAGCTTGATTGTGGTATACATCCTGGTCTTTCGGGTATGGACGCACTTCCTTTTGTAGATCTGATTGAAGCTGATGAAATTGATTTACTTCTTATTTCACAGTTAGTTTTTAAAAGTTAATACTTATTTAACTCATAATAATATTATTATATTTTTAGTTTCCATTTAGATCATTGCGGGGCTTTGCCATGGTTCTTATTAAAAACTAGTTTCAAAGGAAGATGTTTTATGACACATGCTACAAAGGCTATATACCGATGGTTGTTGTCAGATTACATTAAAGTTAGGTATGACTATCATCCGACACTACTGGTACAATAAATAAATCTATTTTATCTTGCAGTAATATTGCTACCGAACAAATGTTGTATACTGAAGCGGATTTAGAAGCCAGCATGGATAAAATAGAAACTATAAATTTCCACGAAGAAAAAGATATCTTGGGTGTGAAATTCTGGGCTTATAATGCTGGTCATGTCCTGGGGGCGGCAATGTTTATGATTGAAATTGCAGGAGTAAAAATTCTTTATACGGGAGATTTCTCAAGACAAGAAGATAGGCACTTAATGGCTGCTGAAATTCCCACCGTCAGGCCCGACGTCTTAATAACCGTAATCGCGCGCGCGCGCATACTCTTGTTGAACTTGTTGAAAAGTACTAAAATGAATTTGTTCTAGGAATCAACTTATGGCACTCATATTCACGAAAATAGAGAGGATAGAGAAAACCGATTTACCAGTTTAGTTCACGACATAGTTAATAGGGGCGGTAGATGCCTTATACCAGTGTTTGCTTTGGGTCGTGCACAAGAATTGTTATTAATATTAGGTAAGCTTTACATAGTTTTTATTATTATTTACTTTTTTTATAAGTCAAAATAATTGTAAAACACACATTCAAAATTTGTTTAGATGAATATTGGGGTCAGCATCCAGAATTGCACGACATTCCTATTTATTATGCCTCTTCATTAGCAAAGAAATGTATGGCAGTGTATCAGACATACATAAACGCAATGAACGATAAAATTAAGAGGCAGATTGCCATTAATAACCCTTTCGTATTCAAACATATATCAAATTTAAAGGTAAGTATTAAAAATAGTGTAATTGTGGTAATTTTGAATTCTCTTTTTTTTTTAGGGTATAGACCATTTTGAAGATATCGGTCCGTGCGTTATAATGGCTTCGCCTGGTATGATGCAGAGCGGGCTATCCAGGGAATTATTTGAATCCTGGTGTACCGATTCTAAAAATGGTGTTATCATTGCTGGTAAGATTGAATCTATATGAATCCGAAATTAATTTATGTACCTAGTTAAATTATTTAAAAAAAACTTTAATTTCTCTTAAAGGTTACTGCGTGGAAGGAACTCTGGCAAAAACAATTCTTTCCGAACCAGAAGAAATCTCCACCATGACGGGACAAAAGTTGCCTTTGAAGATGTCGGTGGACTATATTTCTTTTTCTGCTCACACGGACTATCAACAAACGAGCGAATTTATAAAAATACTGAAACCGCCGCATGTTGTGAGTATTGTTGATAAAGAATGTATTTTTTCCAAAATGTCAATAATAAAAATGTTTTTCCTCTTGTAAAGACAATTCAGAGACATTCTGTATACTCAGATGCTAAAAAAACGCAACGGATTTGTTTTTTTCTCAAAGTGCTATATTTTTGTAATTTTTTAGCAAACTGTTCAAATATAGGTATGTCAACTTAAATTCGTAAACTCAGTTTTTGACAAACTTTAGTGTTTGACTTCTTATAAAGGTTTTTTTTACCCTAACTTTAAAGCACCCTGTGCATTTATTTCGTGAGCAAATTTTTCCGACAACGTGATATTTCCGTCAGAATCACGTCTCCCGAGGATTTTGATTTTTGTCTACATTTATATACCTTGGTTAATTTTTAAGAGCAAAGTGCTCAGTGTTTAGAATGGGAAAATCTTAATTTGAAAGAATCTTAATATTGCAGAGGACACAAATTTTTGGAACTTACATAAATACAGGGTGTTTCAAAAAACATATGCCATTTCTCGTGAGGAGATTCCTCACGTAAAAATAAGATTTATTTTTCGTATCAACGTAAGTCCGATTCTGCTTTGTTTCGTAGCTACAGGGTGTTGTCTTAAGAGTTTTGAATGAAATTTTAAGGGTAAAAGTTACTATAAATGCGACATATTTTAAATCTATAAAAGTGTTGAAATATTAATATTCACCAGGGACGTGCATAGGGGTTATCATTGAAATATTTTCCTAAAAAAAACATGTACGCCACTGACTTTTTTTTCTCTTGTTGGCGAAACAGTGTAAGCAGTTTAATGCCGATTAAAAGCTATCTAAATTTTACTAATTTGCCTTGATCCAAGTCTAATAGCAACCTTTAAAAAAAAAATTAAAATCATTAACTTGCGAAAGTTTTAAATAAGTACTCATTGATTTTACATCTGAGTATATTTTTTTATTGTTATTTTTTTTTCAATTTTTTAAAAGGTGCTGGTGCACGGCGAACAGAACGAGATGTCGCGGCTGAAGGCGGCGCTGCAGCGCGAATTCGAGGAGGACCCCAGCAACCGGGGCATCCAACTGCACAACCCCAGGAACACGCACACCGTGGAGCTGTATTTCCGGGGCGAAAAGACGGCCAAAGTGATGGGAACGCTCGCCGTGGACGAACCGCGACCCGGCAACGTCGTACAGGGTGTGCTGGTCAAGAGGAACTTTAATTATCACATTTTGAGCGCGGACGATTTATTCAGTAAGTAGATAAAATTAAGTTAGGGATCATTTGTGCGCCAATGTTGAAACCTCACCTTCAATAATTAAAGCAACTAGAGCGGATACAACTTTTGAACTTAAAACCATCTCTGCTAGAGTAACTGCCCAACAGTCAACAGACAATAATAATAAGATTTTTCAGTAACAGTGACATTGCATAAATCATAATCACTATTTCATGGGTCTGTTGTCTGGGACTGAAAGCAAGGCATGGTTTTAATGTAAAAATTACGAAAAAATGTTACTCTCTTCTTCAAAGGCGAATATCCCCAAAGAAAAATAAAGCTATCGAGATGAACCAAAAAATAAACTATCGAGAATAGATGCACCTAGATAATAAAATAATTTTCAAATTTTTTACTTTTTAACATATTCCACAAGGTGTTCCAAACTTTCACCAAAATAACGACATTTCATGTTCCCTCGTATAATTGATAGATGGGAACTTTCATTTTTAATTTAGAAAGAGATATTAAAAAGTCAAATAATTTAGCTAGAAATTGCTTAAAAGATCATCAAAATCGGTCCACTAGAACACAATACATATATGAAAATTTTAAGGTGCAGTTTTATGTGCCGGTGAGTATAGAGTATCCTAAAGGTTTGTTAACTTTTTCTAGTAATTGAAAATTACTACATATCACTAATATTGACGTTCTGAATGCTTATATTGAAGTTAGGGGAACAAACTTCTGCGCTAATTGTGAAACCATTGTTCATGAATGAGGTTCCGAATGAAGCTTAACAGCGCCTTTTCTGTTTTAATGATCGCAGAGTACACGGATCTGAGTTTGAGCGAGATCACTCAGCGGCAAAGTCTGCACTATTCGGGTAATTCGGGCGTTTTGCGCCATCTCTTGTCGCAAGTGTGCGGCTTGATGGAGACCTTGGACGGCAACAAACGGATGAAGGCGTTCAACGCTGTCGAAATAACGATCGAACCGAAACTAGTAACGTTAGAGGTAAGATCAGCTTCGGCTTTTTGTTCTCTTCCAGCTAAAACCAAGTGGCTCACCCCTTTAATTTTTTCAGATAAAATGACATAAATAACAAAAATATTACATAAATCATGATTCAATTACTTTTGATCACTTCCTCTTTCACCACAAATGACTACAGCTATTGATTTTTAAATAGTAGCCTGGCTATTTTCTTACCATTTTTATAGAAAAATTACATAGTATTTTAATGACGAATAATGACACGATAGTAGTATTTTAAATTTCATTCTAGAGTGCAATGACTTTGTTCATAATGACAATTTGCCTAAAAATATCAAGTATCTGGTACCACATTATTACCTACTGGGAAACGTGACCAAAAACATTAGAAGATCAAATGTATTTTTCCAGGGCTCCTTGATTAAAAGTTAGTGGTGGAACATATGCGTGAAACTCCAGATTGGAGTTTAAAATATTATTTTTTTCGAGCGTAATTGTCGAAAGTTTACAATATTTATGAGACGTCACTCTATTCCGATTTGTAATTTTCCATTGAATAAAGTAAAAAAAATACCGAGGGTTTCGTTTAAAAATTAATAGCTGTAGTCATTTCCGGTGAAACAGCAAGTGACCGAAAATAATTGAATACGTAATCAATCGGAAACAAAAAAGTTATAGGGGTGAGACACTTTTGAAAAATACTCTGTATATGTCTATTTATCTCGTTTTTCAGTGGGTAGCGAATCCAGTAAATGACATGTACGCAGACGCGATAGTGGCCGCTGTATTACAAGCCGATTTATTTGATACGCCTACGAAAAATATGACTACTAGTGTAAAGGTGGACAGAATGCATTTTAAGGTACAGTAACTCTAAAATTAGTAAAAAAATAATTAATTTATTTTATTTTTTAATTTTTTTTTTATATAATATGCCTACCTAAAATTTTTAGGAGTGTCTTATAGAAATGTTGCAAGATATGTTTGGAGAAGACTCCGTTCCCAAAATATTCAAAGGAGAAAAATTGTACGTCACCGTGAACGAAAAAAGGGCCGATATCGATTTGGCTAATTTAGTAAGTGTAACGCGACTCAGTAACGATTTTTTTCGTAAATATTTGTTTCGCAGGAAGTGAAATGTCCAAACGATGAGGCCTTCCAGCAAATAGTGCAAACTGCAGTAGCGAAGCTCTATCAAAGTTTGGCTCCTCCTGCACTGGAAACTTGAAGGTGTGTATAAATTAATATACAGGGTATCCCAGGCTGAGCGTGACTTAGAAGTTTCTAAAGAACCACAATATCTAGATCGGAGATTTTTTGCACATCATTGTTTTACAACGAGATCTACCGATTAAAAATATTTTTAATATGGCGGCGCTTCTGGAAATACCAGAAGTTAACAGCAACTTTCTTATTGTAAATGGGTGTCCCCCTTTTTTATTACATACTTAAATTCTCTGTAAAATTCTATGAATATTGATGTTAAACAATCTATACTAGAGATGAAACGGATATCTGGCAACTATACGGTATCCGGCCTAAATTTATTATCCGCCCGGATACCGAATAGTAACTCAATATCCGGCCGGATACCGGATATTCAAAAAGTAACTTAAATAACAAGAAACAATTTAATTACAGTTTAAGCTGCTTTTATTTCAAGCTGAAAATTACATAATTTAAAAAAAAATCATTATTCACTTCAATGAAAAATATAAAAATGGAAACTTTAATTAATGACATGAATAACTAATAATAAATGAAAAACCTTTAAAAATACGCACAGATTCTTAAAATTTACCGTCTTGTTCTTTTTCGTTTATCAAAGAGAACTTAAAAAAAATAATAGTCAAAATTAATAAATAGCAAATTATGGCAAATACACTCAAAATTTCCAGCATTTGACGATAATAGGCGATTTCGCTTTTTTTTCATAAACCAAACCAGCTGCGGAACACAACCTCTCGCTAAAAACACTGCTGCAACGAACTGAAAGGTGTATTTTCGCAAATTTCGTCAAATAGGGGTAGTGGTTTACGTTATCCGACCATCAAGTGTAAGCATCAGGCCTCGACTATGATCAATTCGAACTGTTTTCAAGTAGAAGTCGATCTCGCTTGCAATTAGTTTTTTCTCTTGATCGCGACATTGATATTGTTTTCACCTGCGATTTCATGGAAGCAATCCCAGAACGTGTCGTGAGATTCGCAAGTATCCGAACAACTATCCGTTTCATCTCTAATCTATACCTAACATTAACCGTTTTTGAGAAAAAAATATTTAAAATTTTTGGACAAAAAAACTACTTTTCAAAAAAAATTTTAAAAGTCAAATTTAGTGATTATCACAGCTACTGTGACATACAGAGAAGACATGTCTAGAGATATATCTAGACATCTATTTCCAAAAATTAATATTAATTTAATATCAAATTCATAAAATTTTGCAGAGAATTTAAGTATGAAGTGTGTAATAAAAAATGGGGGCACCCATTTAAAATAAGAAAGTTGCTGTCAACTTCCGGTATTTCCGGAAATGTAAAATGTAGGTTTTCACTATTAAAGAATAAACAAATATGGTCACACTAAAAACAAGACTCTTTCGAAATGGGTAAAATTTATTTTTTTTAATAATATTCACATCACAGAGAAACAAACATACATGTAGTAAACAACCTCTGTCATGATTTATTTACCGTTGATAAAAGATTTTACATCTACTAGTAGGTGTGTGATACTTCTAAATAGTCCTTACACTTTATTTGTCATCATTTATGGCATTTATATGTAATGATTAAATAATGCAAAGGAGAGAGAGAATGCTGCAAGTATATATCTTGTATGTAGATAATCGAGCCATTTACTTTATCAATCTTTTTTTAATAAATAGGTGGAAATCCTTTTTTATGATGTTTTTAAATCACTGGACTATCCATGACTATCCATTTTTTTTGGTATTTTGAAAAAGTATTCTTCGTTAATACATTCAGGAAGAAAATCAGTCAAGATCGCATAAGTTTTCCCAAGTGTATTAACAAAAGAAATATATACAAAAGTGCAAATATCTTTGGAAAATTGAAAGAAATGGCATGTATCGTGTCCGTGTATCGTGAAAAAATTAGCAGAAACCATAGACATAAAAAGCAGTAGAGCCTTTATGCTCAAAAAGAAATAATACTCATTCAAAGAGTACCTATTTACTTTTTGTCAGAATTCACAAAGAATGTGAGTCATATTAATTCGCTAAAAAAAGTCAACTATCACTTTTAATGTCTATGCAATAAACATGGATATAGAAATAACTCGAGATTGGTACATACTTTTTTGTGATTTTATTTTTTTATACAAGTAAATGGTATTACGTATTTTTCACTAATAAAACTGAAAAAAAACACGTCCATTTTGGACTACTATTCCATCGTTAAGATTAAAAATTACACGAAAATGGAAAACTTAAAGTGAAATACGAACCGAAAATCATAATGTTTACATTTATTATATAATAATCTTCGAAATAATATACAAAAAAAAACACTTCATTAATGTGGCGTAAATTAAACAAACAATTCACTTGACTAGATAAATTAAATAATGAAAATGTAATAAATTCGACACTACTCAACATTAAGTTAAATACTTACAAATGTATCTTGTTTTTATAATTATTATTATTATTTTAATTTTATACACAACAATTTGTATCGTATTTTCAGGAAAATGACTTCGTAGTCGCTGCTGAACAGGAACAAGTGACCCATTTTGGATTTAAAAAGAGTTTGATACATTAAGAAAAAAAAATATGTTTTTTATAGAGCTTGTTAAATGTATAAATAAACTCCTTTCATAAAATTAAGATAGTTTTTTTAACCAAATCAAAACAAAACACTGCAAATTACTGGCTAATAGGATATCTACAATAGCCCTTTTTAAACAGTTCTAAACAATGATATGCTGTTCGAGTACTAATTGACAGGTTTCAAATAATTAAAACAACGATCGTTTCTCAAGGTCACCAGATAATTTGAGGCGTTTTGAAAGCACGGCCTACTACTTCTCGTCATCCGCTCGTAAAAATACGATAGTTTTACATGTACTAATTAATTTTTTCGACTATGAATGGATGATGATTGTATTTTACCACGGTGTCGAAAACACAATTTCCTCTTTTTATAGCTAAGTAGTTAATAATAAATGTATTCTTGTTGCTTAGATTTGTGCGGATTATGATCTTTATCGCTTAAATAATCAACATTTCAGATGTTAACAGTACTTATTCCCTAGCTGGTTATTTTATATTTGTGTCCTATAAATTATATTGGAGTCAAGAGATATTCACAACCGCTCTATAGACACAAATAATATCACGTCAATGATGATTAAATAAATGAAAAGATCACTGTAAGCAAAAATATTTTATAGTGAAATACAAAAGTCTTAGGAATGTCTTAAATAAAATGCACCTTTTTCGAATATGATATTGTGGCTATTCCTCTATAAGTATCATTTTTTTCACAAGTGACAATAAAAAATCCTGAAATACCTCTTTTTTTATCAAAATGTTAGTTATTTCTCTATACGTTTTTTATTCAAAACTACCCATAGCCGTTTTGCACACCAAAACTTGATTACTTTGCGTGATATCTCTGTTTATATCCAGCATTTTTGGGAGTATTTTATTGTCTAAAAAAAATGAATACCTAAAAGTAACATATTTTAGAAATTTCAACAAATGAGACAGACTTAACAAACATTTAGAATATACTACCTTTATGGGATGGTCCTGATGATGGCCATGAACATGTGTGTTTGAATGGGTTTTCTAAAATGTGTTATGCGAGGAATCGAAAACAAAACAAACAATGGTAATGATAAAAAACGAAACACTCATCCTAAATTTGAACAATACAAATAGGTTTCGCTCATTTTTTCATATTTTGCTTAAAATGAATTGAACTACATCTACGTAAATGACTGAAGCTACGTTTTTTTAATTATTTTTAAGCGCCATATATTTTTTTATGTACACATATTAAACGTATAAGTAGTTTTATTATATACTTTAATGTCTCAAAGGATTTTGTTGGTTTTTTCATTATTTTATATTTGTTTGGAGAAAAACATCGTCCTTTATCAAACGTTCTATTCAGTAATACATTTGCATATTTATTGGTCAGTTTTTATTATGTTGTGTAAAATACGAAATTCCACATTTTGTAGTAGGCTTTTTGCAAACAAAAGATCTATGGTAAATAATGCAATTATTCATACATATTTTGCTAACAAAAAAACTACCACCTATAGCTCTTTTGCAAACAAAATATCTAATAATAATTATAATGTCTGATCATTAATTTTAAAGAATCGTAATTCGTATTTTAAACAGAATAACAAATTTTTCCTACCAAAAAATATATAATTTTTCACTGTGAATCTAGTTGAGCTTAAATGAATTTTCGGGTCCATGAACGTTGACCTTTTTTCGAAAATTAAAATATCAATGTCTTTTAATTTTAGTGCACTTGAAGAAGGCGCTATAGGATGCGATGTCAATTTTCTCCATTTAAAAAATGGTAACTAACTAAAACTTAATATATACTCCTAGATTCAGATTCTTTTGATAAAAGTGTATAACGTAACATTCATTTAGACATATATTATGTATATACTCTAAAATAAAATATAATTTACAAAACAGAGTTAAAACAGAATAAATGCAATTGTCTTGCTGGACCATGGCACCGTTGTTATCTTTATCTATTTTAATGTGTACAATATTTTATAAGAACGGACAAAAATAGTTTATATTGTTTGAAGAAAATATTGAAATATTAGCATTGAATACAGTTTGAAGACTATTTGACAACTGTCTATCATTCTAACGATAAACTGTATATAGTATTTTTCAAATTATTTCGATTTAAATAACAATTGTTAAATGTTTCAAAACTTTTGTGATCTGGACACGACATTAAAACATATTATTTTTGAGATAAATAACTTTAATATTTCAATTATTCCCTCAAAAAAAGTTGTTCATATTATGCGTTTGGAAATAGGAAAAGACTTGTAAATATTGTGCTGGGCGAAAAGGTGAAATAATAAAGAATCAACAGCCCTCTTGTGCGGTAATATATGTAGCTGCATGAAGTGATGAACCATTTAAACAAAAAAAAAACAGGCCAAAGCCGATTTTAATGTGTGACTATTTTGAGTTTGAATGCGAAACCGATAAGCACAGAAACACTATAGCGGTTCTCTTTACATACTGTTTGTAGGGAAGCACATTGTTTTGATCCTAGTGGTACCGCCTGTGTGTTCGTAATAGTACTACTTCTTCCATTGTTCTTTCTGCGCTCACCGCGAAACAAAAATATGTAAAACATACACCAGAGCATATACTTAAATACTAGACATATTCATTAAATGAAGAACACATTTTTATTCTATACGTTTTTTGTTTATCTCACTCCACTTTGGTGCGTGCCAGTTAAAAAACCGAAGTATATAATTCGTTTTTTTTTCAATCTTAACATTTTTAACGACTCTCTTATTTACTGTATTAGCTGCTTTTCATTTGGATAAACTAGACCATATTACAGCCTAAAAAAAATGTTTTTATCTTAGGAACGAACAAAATTTAATGTTAAAAAATACACATCCACCAATTTTCAACTTTTTAGTGTCAAACTTGATCATGAAAACTCGATAATATTGTAACGCACTATAACATATATTTTTTTTAAGAAAAAAATTGCATATGTATTTTTTAAAAAACTAACAACCTGCAATTTTCACTCTAATTCATCTTCTACAGTGTAGAAAATGAATTAGAGTGAAAGAGTCACATTACTACAAAAGAATATGTCTATATACAGGGTGTAGAAGCTACAGCCTGTATAGCGGGAAACTTCGGCAGCATATTCTGCAAATAAAAATAGGTAAATAATTTTCGTATAAAATTTATTATGTGCTTTTTTTTGGAGATACAAAATGTAGAAGTTCCATTTTTATTTGGATTTTTTCCAAATATTAAAAAACGTGAATGAATTGAAACTTATTTGAATGAGAATTGGTGTCTGGGTGTTTTTTTTACATTAGAAATATGATTTAGATGTCATTATAATCATACTATGAGTCCTACTACCAATTTTTATCCAAATATCGACGTTAGTTCAGAAATTATTTGGAAAAAATCGCAATAAAAATGAAACTGATACGCCCTGTATCTCCGAAACCAAGCACATTAGCACATAATACATTTATACGATTTTTTTGACTTATTTTTATCTGCAGAATCTGCTGCCGAAGCTTACAATTCGGACCACCCTGTACAAAGACACTGAGAAGAAATACGCTAACTAGAACCTAACCAATGGAAAAGCAGCTAGAGTCGAACAAAGCTAAGACCTCCGTCCTCTCTTTTCTAACTAATTTTAGTTTTAGGATAACCTTCTCCATCATCTCATAAATAAATAATATGATAATTATATGTATGTCATTTTTCCTATGGTAGTACTAGGTATCCGTATCCTGAACGCCGACTAGATGCGATCACTCCCCATCGGAACACATACACACACACACGGAAACGTATATGCGCATACATATTTGTATATAGTCCCCGGACAGGTGGCGCGGCCGTCTAGTAGAGGCCGCAGTTGCGCAGATTGTTGGCTATGATGACGTCGGTGACGGCGTCGAACACGAACTGGATGTTGTGCGTGTCGGTGGCGCACGTCATGTGGCAGTAGATCTCTTTGGTCGTGGACTTGTTCTTCGCCTCGAACTGGGCCTGGATGTAGGCGGCCGCCTCGCCGTATTCCTGGGCTCCTGCAAATACAAAAGAGTTGGTAGTAGAGCATTCAATCCCGGCATTTTCGGTATCCATCTTTATACAGGGTGTCGTTGAAATGGTGTAAAAAAATCGGGGGGTGATAGTACTCCTAAAAATAGTAAAAAAAAGTTCCTATAAGCATAGGGCGGAAAATGCATATTAAGGGAGTTAGGGGCACTGAAAGGGTGAATTTAAAAAACGGTTGCTTTGAAATTATAGGCTTAAAAAACGAGATAAGACTTCGAAAAAAAATCCTCTGCCATAAATTTTGACCCTAAATCAAATGGTGATACTGAAAAATTATTTGGAAAAGCGGAAAGGGTAGTTTTTGCAAGGGTAGGGGGTTATTTCGTGTAAAACTTTTTTGAGGTTATTTTTTTTGCAACGTGGGTTCATTTTTTGAAAACTACATACTTTCTCCTACAAAAAAGGTACTCTTGTTGCACATCGCCCAGAGCGATAGTTTTCGAGAAAATAGCAAGCAAAGAGCGGTTAATCAACCTAAACTTATGAAAGTTATGGCGGTTCAAAAGTAACCAAGTAGTTATTAAATAATTAATTGGAAAATCAAAATTTCATGATTTTTAAAACATCTTATTGCTTTAAAAACGAAATAAACGTTTTTGGTTTTAAAAAAATTTGGTTTGCTCAGTGCCGATTAATACTGAAAAGCAACTACGGCAACGCATTATTGATTGTTCCAATCAAATTCGGACAACACCAAGGATATTCCACAGGGTGTCTACGCAGATCGTAGAGAAGAAGATCAGATGTCTACATTAAAATGAATGGTGGTCACTTTGAACATTTACTATGAATGAATTAAGGAATGCATTATTTTAATAAGAAATTTTGGTAATTGGATTATTTCGTTTTTTAAAGCAATAAGATGTTTTAAAAATCATGAAATTTTGATTTTTTAATTAATTATTTGATAAATACTTGGTTAATTTTGAACCGCCATAACTTTCATAAGTTTATGTTGATTAACCAGTTGGCAACCCATCAGAGCAAACGCTTTGTCTTCAATTTTCTCGAAAACCATCGCTCTGGGCTATGTGCAACAAGAGTACCTTTTTTGTAGGACAAAGTATGTAGTTTTGAAAAAATGAACCCACGTTGCAAAAAAAATAACCTCAAACCTACCCTTTCCGCTTTTCCAAATAATTTTTCAGTATCACCATTTGATTTAGGGTCAAAATTTATGGCAGAGGATTTTTAAGCCTACAATTTTAAAACAACCGTTTTTTAAATTCACCCTTTCAGTGCCCCTAACTCCCTTAATATGCATTTTCCGCCCTATACTTATAGGAACTTTTTTTACTATTTTTAGGAATACTATCACCCTCCGATTTTTTTACACCATTTCAATGACACCCTGTATAAGGAAATTTTATATAAATCTATATTTTGTAAACTTACCTGTATATTCTGGAAAGCATATCGTAAGCGGTGATTTTTTAATTTTTTCTTCGAACAAATCTTTCTTATTGAGGAAGAGGATGATAGACGTGTCCGTAAACCATTTATTGTTACAAATAGAATCGAACAATTTCAAACTTTCTTGCATACGATTCTGAAAAACAAAAAAGAAAATCGAAATATGTTTATTTATACGTATTTTTTTATCTACATTATATTCCAGTTAAGTGATCTAAGTATCCTTAATAATCTGAAATCACTTCAGGTTCATTTATTTTGGTATAAATGAGACAGAAATAACTGAGCTGGATAATCTAAAATCGTTTGGATCACTTAAATGGAAAATAACTAGATTAAAAGATATCAAACTAAGATGAATCCCTATACCAATATACATGTAAAAACCTAGTAATAACGTTGAAAAGGTTTATAAAAAATCATTACACAAAATTATTACAACCCTTGAAGTTTTCAGACGTGGCGTGGCTACTAAAAAATAGTGTTCTTTGAGAGTAACATTTAGATATTTTGAATAGTTTTTCTTTAATAATTTTTTTTGTTCCTGACGATGCGATGGTGGGATCAGATATATCCCTTGAAATGTAAAGTATTTTTGACCTAAAAACTGTTTTTTTTCTGATTTAAAAAAGGGTAAATAGTAGAAAAAAAGACTATTTCTAAATACGCTGTCAGTACTTACGGTGGTTTCATCCTCGTGAAGCACCTGGTCGTACTCGCTCATAGCCACGCAGAAAATAATTGCCGTCACATCTTCGAAACAATGTATCCATTTTTTCCTTTCCGATCTTTGACCGCCCACGTCGAACAATCTGAAAATAAACAGGAGAAAACATAAGTAAACCGGAAACTTTCTGGAAATAAAATAGAGCCAACTATGCCACAGCATGTTTCTTCACGAACTACTTCAGTATAGTATAAGTACATTTTTATATATTAATATCAGAAACAAAATAAATTAATTAGCAAAAAATCAGAGCCCGTTAAATATATTTTTAACGGCGAGTTTTTGAAAAACACATACTATAGTCTGTAAGATATTATCCTATATTTGGTCAGACATGCTATAATCGGAGAGTTGTAGAGTCTTTGTCCCAAGCGTTTATCAATGCGAGAATTAAAAACCCCAGCTAATTTAGAATTAGCTAATTTCAAAATAGAAAAATACGATTAGATAGCCCTGAGAAAATGGCTAGAGAGGAAAAAATTGTTTTTTCAAAAAATCCTTTTTTTTTCAAAAAACTGCCTCCTTAAAATTTTTGAAACTTTTTTGATAGCATGTTGTCGAACATCCCAAGCTGCAACTTTGTCTCAATTGAACCATCTTCGTATCTGTTACGGTTTCCGAGATACCAATGCTCGTATCCCGAATTTGTAGCACCCTGTATATCACAAGACATTAACATTTGTTGTCGTTTTAGTTTACAGGTAAACTGTATTTTCTGTCATTTTTGGATTGTCGTCTGGTGAAATATTTGTACGAGGATTACTTTTAAATTTCATCGTTTTTCGTAAAAGTGAATTTGTCTCAAAAATTAACGAAGTCCAGATAGTGACTCAGCACACGCGGCGAATAGTTTGCGATCGATATAGATAGATGGCGTTCTCCGCCGGTACATAATCAAGACTGGCGAGATATCTGGATAATAAATCAACAGGATCGGAGAGAAAGAGTGTGGCCGAGGTGCGAGGAATTGATCGTGTGCCAAACGGGCGTAGCGGGAGCAGCAGCCGTTTACCTGTTGTCTGCCGTTGAACTTCAAAAGTATTTTTAGATTGTTTCGGGCCGAGAATAGCACCGCATACAGCCGAAGCCCAAAAAGTTTTCGTAAAAAGGTAAAAATTGCGGAAACAAGTCCTTCTCTCGAAATGTATAAAATGGTGTCAGGACGAATACCTTGACACAAATCAAATCCGCATCGTATATCGTAGTAAAAAAACATATTAAAATTTAACTTTTTGCTCTTAGGTATCTGTCAAATTTAACACTTAGAATAGAGATCAAGAAATGTTTTTTTTTCATGTAAACCAAATTTCAGCCATCTACAGAATGTCCTCGGATTCCTCGGTCTCGGATTATCTTTATAAGAGGAAACACTTTTTTATTATAGACATTTTGAAAAAAAATGCTTCTTCATAAAAATTTTGTTTGTCCTATGATGGTTAATCCTTTTTATACTTTGCCAAATTTCTATATCGGTTTAGAAAAAATTAAAAAAAAAACATAAAAATATATATTTATAATTTAATTTTTTCCTGAAAATCAAAAGCGTTCCTATGGTAATATAATTTCGTTTTCATTCTTTGATAGATTGTTACTGATGGAATTTTTAATTAACGTCATATTTTTTTGCTGTTTTCAAAAAGTTAAAGGGGAACAAAATTTATTTTATTCAGTGCTACGGAAAGGGTAATAGTTATCGGAAAATGTGATGCTTTAACAACAACAACAAAAAATCTGATATTAATCAAAATTAATAATAACCTAGGAATAAACATAGGTTTTTCCTCTTGTAAAGACAATCCGTGGACATACTGTAGGTTAAAAATGTAACGAAATGCAATTTTAAACTTCACGCAGTGTGGAATTTATTTAAACCTTATCTCTAATCTCTACGAGTATGTGGTGTATGTGTGGTATGGGCTCTCAAAGGAAACACTATAAGAAAAGTTTCGGTTTATTGGCGCTTTAAACTCTAAAATCCGTTCGACCCGGGATAAAGAGGGCCTTTAAAGTGGATTTACGAGGCGCATTAAAAAATACCGATCCGTCGACACAAAGTCTGCATTGTGTCGCTTTAGTAATATCTGTGGTAATATCCTACTTAATGCTGCGGGACATGATCTTGGCAAACGGACTTTAAAGAAAGATTTTTGAAAACTATACTAATCTCGAAAAAATAGATAAACATATAGAATACCGGGTGGGGCATCGGCGTTAGAAACATAGGAAATTCCATGCAAATTTTGAACTGTCCTAATATTGGCTCTCCTGTTGATCTTACAGCGAAGTCGTAAATAGGTTAATTTAAAACTGAACAGGTAACATTGAAAAACCAGGCAAATGTCTGAGGACATAACTTAAGGTATGTTCTTAACTTCACTTGAGGTATATTGACATTTGCGTGGTTTTGCATTGTTGCCTGGTCAGTTTTAATTTAAAAATAGATGCAGTTTTTCTTAAATTACTCAAAATCGGCTTGTCCAAAATTGTTCAAAGTTGACATGTGTATTCAGCATAGGCAGACCTTTAAAAACCTATTTACGACTTCGCTTTAAAATTAATAGGGGAGCCAATATTTGAACAGTTTAAAATTTGCATGGGATTTCCTATTTTTTGCAAGTTTCCACCCATTATAAATTAGTCTTTGTTAGGAAGAATCTGAAAACGACTTACCCACAAAATACACTTTTTAATAATGACAATGAACATTTAGAAAAATGATGACACGATGAAAAAGCTGCGATTGGAATTGTTACTTACTTGAAATTAAGGTTTTTGAATGAGAAATGCACCTCAACGATGCCGGTGGTTTTTACGCGCGTCCTCAGAATATCCTGCTCTGTTGGTTGGTAGTCTTTCGCCCCCAGTCGATCTAAATCTTCTAAGAAACTGAAAACACACCACAAATAATAAGTTAATTTGTTCAAAATATTCAAAAGTTGGGTATAACGATATAAATTTGGAAAATTTGAAAAATAATTCTTTATGAAAAAAAATTATAAGAAAGAGATAATGATATGGGCTTACTATTTGGCAGAGTCGTTTAGTTGGTATTCGTTGGACCGTCCGAAACACGCCTGAACACCACTGTCTGCCCACAGCCTTTTCATCGCCGCTATCAGTTCTTCCGAAAACGGTTCCGTGTCCTCCATCCTCTGTATAACGTCGAACACCATCTTGCCATCAATCTGAACAACAAAATAGTTGATATAAGTTTGTAGATTTCAAAGTTATTTTGCAAATTTTCTTTTTAATTAATTTTTTTTATTTTTTTAGCGAACTATTTAAAACATGCTCCAAAAAAGGACGTAATTGCAATATTAAGTGTTTTTAGTTTCACGAAAAAAAAATGGTACATATTTTTTTAAGCGAATTTCAATACAAACTGATGTATCTAATTTGTAATTGCTCCAATTTAAGGATTATTTTGTGCGCGTATGTACGTGTACGTAACCTCTCGATATGTTGTATGTAACTCGCTTCTCTCTATTTTTAAACCTTTCCATCTGTTCGGAAGGTTTGGAGAGCATCGGGAGATGATATATATTATTATCCAGCGGCATTAACATTCCATATAGACTTCAAAAAACGATAAAAATTTACGGATGAGAGGACATGTGCAATATAAATGTCAATTTTTTCGGTTTATTTCAGTGTTCGTCAGGATATTGATTATTTTAATTCACTTGCATACAGTGTTTTTTAAGTAAAATTTCTTTGAGTGAAATTTCAAGGCCGTGACACACAAGCTAGCGAGACGAAAGGTGGTAAGGACGGCCTACAGCTTAGAAATGCGTAGTGACGAGGCGTGTGAACAGTCCACGTGCTTATCAAAAATATTGATATTTCCATACAAGTTTTGTGAAAGTGAATCAAATTATTTATTACTTTTTTAACATTTCAAACTACACTTTTTCAAACATGTCCTTCAAATCCTTTAATTTAATAGCTGTTAAGTAAGAAGTTTGACTTCAAATATGCGCACATAGTAGCTAATTATTCTAGTTATTTTTTCTTGCATATTTTGATATTCTACGTTTCAAAAAACACGAACTATGTGTCTTTAAAAGAAGTAGTACCATAGAGACTAGTATCATACGATTAAGAAAAAAAGAGGGCGATAGAGTTGGCTCTTACCTCTCTTTCATTATTTCCATACTGTATACCGAGGTTTGGCATCGCCCTCAGAATAGCTATGACAGATTGAATGGTATTGCTGTACACTACTGGCCTATATTGCTTGAAGTCTTCCGGTGTAAACCCACTCTCGTGGATAATTCTGAAAATAAAATAGAATGAGTTACAGTAATTATTTACTGAAGAGCCAATTTTATAAAAAAAAAGGTCTACTTAAAATTAAAACCTTAACAGTAATATTCTCGAATAACAAATAACAATAATCTGTTATAACAGCTAAAAAAATATGTCGTTTAGATTCCGCATATAATTAGGAAAAAAATCGAATGTAATATTTTTCTTCAGTAGGATAAAAAATAAAGACCATCCCTTGTTTACTTAATTATGAAAATTAATAAAAAAAGAAAAATAAATTACCTCTTCATCAAACGAAGAACGAGAAGAAAAAAATGACCTTTCCCAGCTTTACAGAGAATTCAGAATTATCTTATTTCTTTTCGTTGTAAGGCTTAAATTCCAGGTCTAATAAAATTGGAAACCGCTTCTTACGAGATGAAAGGAAAATGAAGAAAAACAGAATGCAGAATTCCAGGGGTAGGGCTGTGGGGTGGAAATGGCTTTTGCCTTTAACGTTTCAAGTTCAAGGTCGATGATGGAAAAACAATATCCTGTGGTAAACGGTTTTTATGTATCTTAAGAAAATAAGATGAAGGTATTTCGCTACTCAAAGAGAAATCTAAAAAACGATAACATTAAATTACTACACTGATGACAAAATATGTATATTTAGATCCATTTTGATTTTTGATCTACACAAAACCAAAGAACACTGAACAACAAACAAAAAATGCGGATAAAAAACATAAGGATTATTTACAAAAAGGAATAATTTCGCAAATGCAAGATTTATCAAGATTGTATTTCCATGCAGAAAAATCGTGAAAAAGCATTGATATCGTCATAAAATTGGCTTATTTTATCTCTTATCAGATACGCTTTTCTCCGATATTCTTTACGTAATACTTGAAACATCTAATGAGTAATATACATTGGAAAATAATACGGTTATTTTTTGAATAAAATACATCATCAATAAACCTATTTCAGTTGCTGCGTCGATATGAACATACCTATAGAAAATCTTAAGTAAATTTTAAAAATGACGAATAAAATTGAAGAACATGTAGGACCTTGTACAACAGCTACGAAATCTAATTCTAGAATTTGTACGAAATAAAACTAAAAATTAATTTCAGTGATTCCGTTTCAGAATAATTTCATTCACTGGTATAAATATCCGCAACCGTTGGATTTACATATAAACACGGCTAAAAATATTTTCTACAATTACGAAAGTTGCGGTGATCCGTAGATATGTATTTCACTAGCGAAATAAATTTATAAGTTGTTCGGCGAATAATCTGATATTCGAAAAGACCTAGATGATGAATTTTTCCACAAAAAGAATATGGGTCGAGTTCGGCATAATCGCCATCATCATGAGGCTTTGGTTCTTCTGGCTATTTTCCTCGCGTGGCGTTTAATAATTGAGAAGCTAATTCTGGATCTGAATAGTCTACCGTGTAATGCATCGGAACACGGGACAGGAAATCCCATGTTAATTTTGAAAAGGCCAAATATTATCTCCCCATATGATTTTATGCAAAAGTTGTATTAGACTTTTTTGAAGATTGCTTAAAGTTGTACTTTTGTGTAGAATTTTGTTTCATTCAGAAAAGAAATTTGAAAGTTAGTTGTAAAAATCTATCTTCAAATTAGTAGAATTTATAAACGTTGATTCTCACTATACCTTCCGTTTCCATTCCATATCCGTTCCGTATTTTTTATTGTATTGACGCTATACGTAAGCTTCCGTTCCGTATCAGTTCCATATTTTTTATTGTACAATAATTTATATCATTACGAAAGTTTTATTATAAAAATTTGTATCTTTTTAAAAAGGCAATAGATTTAATTAAGAGATAAAAGAATAAATAAATATCAGCAAAATTTTAGCTGAGCTGGTACAAATGCAAGAACTTGACAACGCTGTTTCCGACACGCTTCAGTCCGTCCGCCAAAAATGTATGGAAGGAAAGGATATGGAACGGAACGGAAACGGAACGTATAGTGTGAATTGTCCTATTCATTTACATGGTATAATATTTTATGTAAACGGAAGGGAGTTGATATGGAAGGTATAGTGAGAATCAACCTTAATACGGTCCAGAGGTCCTACAATAATTAAAATACCCACAAAAAATATGATTGTGTCATTGTCAAATTCGATGTCACATTTTGTTTACAAAAATTTGAAGGTACCAAACAGAGTAATTTTGTATAAAATAATTATGAATTTCGCAACTTCTGAAAAAGATACGATGGTTAAACGACTGGAAATAGTATTCCCGCTGTGTTAGATATGTTCGCAGCTCATCAGTCTCCAGAAAGTCTATACCGAAAGTCAACAGTTTAAAGAATAACCGGAGGTTTGAAACTAAAGGCATTAAGGTATTAAACACATGGAAGTGTGAAGACAAAAATAATTGAACATGAAGAAAATAGCAATGACTTGAGTATTATTCATGTTGAAGAAAAGAACAACATTGACTCCCGTCTTTTGGGGATGCAATAGGAAAAGACTACAGGATATTTCGCCTAACGACTTCTTCCTGTGGAGCACACTCAAAAACCGTTTTTGTAGGCATATTAAATACAGAAATTTAGATGGACTGAAAACGACACTCCTGTGGAATGCTAAAGATTCTCCCCTTAACAGTTTTGTATTGTGAGGCGTGAATTTCAATCATTTGGGGTATTGTTTGGCTGTGAATGGGGAATTATGTAAACATTTTATTAGTTAGTATAATTTAATAAATTTCCTTTAGTTACAAATATTTCTTTTATTTATTAAATTATTTTGGATGTATGTTGATGATCGAGGTCTGCGAGTGATCGAGTTATGAACAGCAAACAAGTCATACACTGCGAAATTATTCTCAGTTCAACTAATTATTCTTTTGTAGATAATCATTCCAATTCAGAAAAAAAATTACAACCTTTTTCAAACCACACAAAATTCTTGTAAACAAAAAGAAAATGTGCCAACTTGACAATGACAAAATCATATTTTTAGTAATTTGAACGAAGTTTTTGAAAATAACTTTTCGATTCCTATTCCAAATAAAACGAAATTCTAGACTACAGTACAACTTTAACGTCTCTTCAAAAAAGTTTAATACAATTTTTGCATAAAATCATCTGGGGAGATAATATTTGAGATTTTCAAAATTTACACGGGATTTCCTATATCCCGCGTTCCGGTGCACCACACGGTATATTTATAAAATGGACTACCAGATTCTGTGCATACTGCAATGTTATTTCTATACCAAATATAAAATAAAAAACTTGTTGAAAAGAAGAGGATCGATATCCAATGTTTGTTCTGACGAAGCTTTATCGGGAAACACTTTATCCAAGGGACTTATCCAAATAAAAAAAAATACATTTCGATAACGAAATTAATACACAAACACACACCTAACGAACGTTTGTTTAGTAAATTCGTGAACATATGTGTCCATATTATAAAAATCTATCTATAGGTGTAAAACTTTTAATCCTGAATGAAGCGCACGTCAAATTTGCAGATATAAAAGTTCACATCCGCTTTCTAAAAATAACGTTCTATGATACGGTCTATGAAAAAAATAACATGCCAGTCATTTCCACTTGAATTTTATCTAATGTTGCTTTTTATTAGAGGTTCTGTTGAAGGCTCTTTAATGGATCTGAATAAAATGCACTCTCTGTAGATGATGTAGAATGTATGGAAGGGGGAAAGTTAATCACTGTAACCTTATACATCTATTGTGTCCCCTTTTTCTTGAGTTATATTTCATCATACAGTCTCAGGCCTTTGGTAAACGCCAGTATATGGGACGGTTTTACAAAGATTAGTTCTCCATCTCCGATATCAGTCTTACCAGCATTTATGGCAGGAATGTTTGTCGTCTCGAAGCACTCAGTGATATGGTGTTCTGATTTCTGATTTTTCAACACAAAATCTGCATTCGCCGTTGTTTCTTAGCTTAAATCTACTGAGGTGGTTAATGAGGAGACAGAGTCCTCTTAAAAAGTTATACGCAAATGCACTCATATCTAGCCAGTCTATAAATTAGTTATTTATCTTTAACACAAATATTTAGGTTAATTTAATTTTCTGCAATACTATACACATTTTTTAACAAATTAGGTTACAAAAATATGGTACAGAAAATTTTGCAAAACACAAAAAGCATCTTACTGTACGACAAAATGTTCCGTACGAAGTGGCCTTTACGATGCCAAAGATATAATGTTAAAGAGACGCATGATACGGATGTCGTCGACAATGTGACGTAAGGCGCCCTAATTAATTATTTAGCGTCGCCTGCGGGGGAGCCACTGTCGCATTTTTCCCATTCTATTCGGATGACTCGCAATTTCTTTTTCTCCGCGCGATCCAGAGCCGCTACTTCCCTTTTTCTTTTTCGCTTTTCTGTTTCGTCCCTTAGGCGACTATGTAGCTCGGGTTTTACTTTTTTTATTTCTGTTACAAAAGGAAATGGATACCAATTCATATTATACTGCTTAAGATTTTAGGTGTGGAGTTCTATCTTTATTGTGATTATTTTGAGAATTTTTTTATCAATAATAAGGAAATCTCAGGGAATTATTGCCTGTTTATAACATTGTAAAATTTACTTCAAAATGATATACACCCTATAGTAAGAAATGAGCTGTTTTTATATCGAATTTCTATTTTATATAGCCATTTTAACAGAAAAGGATCTTTTGTATATTCTTGTTCGCTCCAACTTTATTATTAAATACCGGGTGTTTCTCAAAAGTGGCTCACACCTGACGATCCAAACTATTTTTCCAAGGCTCCTTGATAAAAAAGTAATGTTTTTAACACAGCTGTGGCACTCTAAATTGAAATTTAAAATACGATTTTTTTAAGCGAAAATGCCAAAAGTACACATATGATATGTCATTCTATTCAGAGTGTCATTCTCTATTGAATAAAGTAAAAATACCGAGAGCGCCGTTTAAAAATCAAAAATTGTAGTCATTTCCGGTGAAACAGGAAGTGACCGAAAACAACTGAATACGTCAATGAATCTTAATTTATATCATATACTAACATACCAAATTCCGTTTATTTATCTATTTATCTGAAAAAATAAACAAGTTATAGGGGTGAGCCACTTTTGAGAAAGAACCGGTATACTTGAAAATACTTGAATGCCACAAATTATTTATTTTTAAAATTTTAAACTTACTTCATTTGTTTTACTATCGTACTCTTCCCTGATTCGCCAGCACCTGAAAAAAGAAAAACATATGAATATTTTTGTTATAAAAAAACTAAAATAAATATAATATACCATGTATATTATTGCACACTTCAAAAAGTAAAACTATATTTTGAAAATGTGGCTTCGGCGATGGCTATGAAAGGAAGATCGCTGTCATTTTATATGTAAAATTATATGGGGAATGTCATCGATGTTCATTTCCAAGCAACTAGACGCCGTGTTTTTCGATCATACTGTATAGTGTAACATAAAGCTGCGCCTTTGTTTGGCTTTACTAAACTCAGTATAATATATTATGTGATGATATAAACAGTATTTCCATGTTTTGTGTTAAATAACTTTCTTATCGCTTACAATTTTTATCCATGGTTTCGTTCGAGTATATTTCAATCTCCTTGATCCTTTATATTAAGCAAAATAAAACACTAAAACATTTTATACCCTAATCTCTCCAGAGATAAAAAGCTGGAAAAAATAACTGAGAAGAGAAAATAATTGCGAGAGGGTATAAACTTTTTTTAGGGCTGATTGCATTCGCTCTTTTTTCGCGTTTGTTTACTGGAGGTCAGTTTCCTTTTTAGTGGCGTCGAGATAATCGTATAAATTTCGTCTGGGGGGTAAATATTTTTTCAGAGAATAAGTTTGCGTTGTATAAATATATTCCATCCGCTCTATTTTGTTTATTCGTTTAAAAAGGACTCTGTTTACTATGGCTTTTCGGGAATGAAATTCAGATAATCGTTTTAGCGTAGATCAAGTGAATTGATCAAGTCACAGAAATTCAACTGAATTGAAAGCATATTCCGAGTTTACAAATATCAAAAAGCTTCTGTTAGTTAATTCAAAATGGCAAAATTTTGGCAACAAAATTGACAAAAAGCTTATTGTGTAAAAAACTATACGTCAAAGAAGTGTCTTTACACACGTTTACACGAGGACTCGTGTAAACGGACATTTATAGTTTTTATATTTTGAAAAAATCCCATTAGGTATATAATCAAAACCACCATCTTGTCAGTGATTTTTTATCTCCTAGGAAAACAAATTTACCTCGAAATTTACTTAACCAACAAAATATGTTTAACGTTTCAGGGGATATATCTTCCCCCCTACATCAGAAGGAAAACACAAAAAGAATAAAGGAAAATTATTTAAATCTCAAAATGTAACTGTCATAAACTTCTTCGCTCTTGGTCTTCTCCTCGTATTTTCCTTACTAATTTTGTTGTTTTTATTTTTCTTTATAATAACTGGAGTTCGCCCAACTTAAGAAAACGTATCCTTGTGATAATTGGGAAATTCTGCCCTAAGGAAGAACGAGGAAAAACGGAATTGTTTCAGAGGTTGTTGACTTTGTCACACAGTTGGGACAAAGCAATTCAATCGAATAAAGATATTTTCAGGTTACTCAAAATGAAAAAAAAATGAAACAGAAAACAATAAGAATGTTATAAAGTAACTTAACAAAACTAATTCCTGATGGAGTGTTTGATGTAAGAGTATACAATGTCCACAAAAAAAAAGTTTGCTACAAGTTGTGCATGTCTTGTTACAGATAATGTAGATGTCTCTATTGATATACCAAAAATGTTTATTGAAATAGAAACTAGTATTTCTAGTTTCTTCGCGATATTTTAGTCTTTTTAATCATAAACATTTTTAAAAAATAGCAGTAACAGTTCCAAGTATTATTTGATACTTTTAAACGCTAATAAAATCAATAATAAGACAGATTCCTGTTATTTTGAAATCTGAAAAGTTACTCCACAATCTATGTGTTACACCACAATCAAAGCTTGATCGATAAACAAAAATCATCACTCGCATACTGAACCAAATTACGGGGGTGGACGGTATGTATATAAAAAAGGAGTGGAGATATTTCAAAGTTAATGAGTAAAGCGAATCGGGGTCTTCTGGCAAATAGGAGCTTAATTGGTCTGAACCGAATGAAGCTGTACATTATTAATAGAGACGGTTCTATATTTAGATGAAATTAAAGGCAAAGGGGTATTATTATTAAAACCCTTTGTACATAATAAATAAATGAATGCAAATAGCTCTTTAAAGTTATCTTATTAAAATTAAAATATAAAGTATAAATAACTTACACTTATTTGTAAAGAAATGGTAAGTAAGTAATGAATTCTACATTCATCTCAATTTAAACTTATCGTTAATAAGAGTAAAATTAAGAAATAATAATGTGTCATTCTCCTGAACTATATAAATTACACTATACTTATTATTGCAGTTTCTGTTGTGCAGTATAGTACCAATTTCAGCATATTTATCTATTATCTATTTACTAAATGAAGTCTAAATTAAGTCACAAACAAATTGTGTTACAATGAGAGACCTCTGAGACCTGAGACCAACTCCTAGAATTCGTAATTTTCTCTGAATAGTGCGAGTACAACAAAAAAACAATAAGATCGGTTATTATTGACGCGTATAGCGATGAAAAATAGCAAAGAAAGGGATGTTTGTTCATTGTATCACACCCACCCCATTTGTCAATCGCAATTCTGACGTCAAAGAGCCACACGGTGGGATTCAAATTTACGCTATCTCAATTACGCCAACGTATGTACGTATTGAAAACAACCACAACGGTCTAGGAAAAAGAAAACGTTGTAATTTATAAACTAAAGAAATTACAAAGTTGTAGACAATTAAATGCCACTCTTAGTACACACAGTATTTAATACAGTCTCAGGGCTTTGACAAAAGCCAGTATCTGAGATAGTTTTACGGAGGTTAGTTCTCCATCTCCAAAATCAATCGTACCAAAGTTTCTGGTACGAATTGTTGTCGTCTCGGGGCACTCAGTGATGAGGTGTTCTGGTGTTTCCCCATTTTCCCCACTGAATCTGCATTCGCCATTGTTTCTTAGCTTCAATCTACTGAGGTGTTCATTGATGAGATAGTGTCCTGTTAAAAATCCCTTGTCAATCCGAAGATTGTTCTTACTCAAATCAAGCAAAATCTAGATATTTCTCGATCGTAAGTCATGAGAAATTCCTTCGAGTGTCTTAAACCTAGAAGGATTCCTATTACAGGTTACGGATGGAGTCTTTCAGGTTCTTGGGTTCTGCTTTAAGTTGGTTTCCACTCGGGAAGCAGAACGGTTCTGGTCCAGTTAGTGGACTGTTCGCTCCTTTTCTAGCTAGATCGTTTGCTTTTTCATTACCTTCTATGCCCTGGCGGGATGGCATCCAGAGTAGAAGGACATTATTTTATTTGTTTTCCTAATTTGTTCAGCCTCTCTAGGCAATCTAGGCATTTTTTGACCAACTTCGAATTGTTGGTTACCGAGTTAGTCCCTCTTTAAGACTATTGGATTTGATATTTTATATTTTTTAGACTATTCTTTTGATATTTTCTTGACTTAAAATTTATTAAATTTTGATAAACCTCTAACATTCTAAAAATAAAGTTCACGTTTAATATAAATCGAAAAGCGAGGGGCAATATTACATTACATCGTTATCAATCCCTCACTTTTCGTTTAATAGGAAGGCAAAAATGCCAAAAATAGCGATCGCATCGAAATTCGGCGGCGGATGTGTATCGAGAGTCGAGAGCGGATCGGGGTCCCCTTTTTCCACCACTGCAGCCTTATTAAACCGGCAAAAGGGCCCCGCAGTGGGACAGAGTAGTCGTAAACCAGCTGGACAAAAATAAAAGTCTAAAAATTTCAGTATTGTTTTATTTCTTCATAATATTTTTTCTCAGAAACAAGATTTCTGTCCTGTCCAAGAAAAAGAAAAAGGGCGAGTCGAACTCTTTCTACCAACCGGCCGGATAATCCTGGCAGCTGTGGCCGTTAAACCGTGTTAAATCAATATACTACTACTACTACTAACCAACAATTTGCGTGGTTTATTCTATAAATAATGAACAAAACGTGTTTGTTTACAGTAATTTTGATAAATTATGCGAATATTCTCGTTGATTATTGGTTTGAAATAAATATGACAATGTCCTCCAATGAAAATGCGAGTTACTTAACTCTAATAATTCTATTTCTGAGCTAGCAAATGAGCAGCTGCTTTACCTAGACCGTTATTCAGAAGCTACAAACCTATCGATGAAAATATGCATGATAATTTCGGGTATAGTATCAAATTTTTTATAATGATTTTCTAAGCTCTAAATCAAATGATTTTTGGCGTCTGATCTGTGCGATCGTGCAATCCTTGCCCACTTTTCGTCTCGCTAGCTCGTGTGTCACAGCCTTGAATTTATAATCCCAGGGCGCGTACAGAAGTTTCACTTCAAAAAACACACTGTAGAATTAATGATGTACCGATTATGGTTTATGCTCTTTTTCTCAATATTAGTGCCCATAGCAACGCTCGAAAACGAGCGGCAACTGTTTCTGGCCCCGGCAACTTGTTGACGATCGGAAAATCAATAAAATGGAAGACCGAGGGCAGGAACAGCCTTGTAACCGGGCGCAAGGGGGGCTACGCGGTACCCCGGGCCCCAAATAGGCGCTATTTTTGGATTTTTCGACAGTCTTTTGCCGGGGATCCGAAAAACGTACAAAAAATATATTTTTTTACAGAAATTGTAATTGAAGAATCGAAGTTACATTGAAAGAGTCTATATAAATTTAAGTAAGGAATAATAACATCCAGCGTTTCGAGAAAAAAAATTCCACAGCTTCTCGTAATAATAACAATTAAAGAATCAACAAACGTATCTGGAAATAGAATAGGCGGAGATCATTCTCTGTTGAACAATCGCCATCGAAAATTTAAGAAAAAACACACCGAGAGTTATTCCTCTAAGTTTTATATTTATACCGATAGGCGGCGCATAATTGTTTATTTATTTTAACGGAGGAGGTTTCTACGTCATAATCGCTTTCTGTTCTTTGTCAAACGAGATTAAAGGGAAAATTGGTTGATTTTCAAAATTAATTGTCCCGGTAAGGACAAACAATAAACAGTTTATGCGTCTATTTAGAGAAAATTACGAATTCTAGGTTTGTCTCAT